TTTCACAGTAAAAAGAATATTTACTGCATATTATGTTTCTTTCTTCTGTTATTACAATGAGACCAGGCTTCATAGAACTTCCCTTGGTAATTACGAGTCCTTGCTATTAGAGAGTCAAAGGAGGCAATTCACTGTCATTAATTTGAACTATTCATCAAATCAGGTTCTGACTGACTACTCTATTACTTCACGTGGGAATAAACCCTGTAGAAAAATAAATATGCCTCCTAAATTACACAGCTGGGGAGATTGTGGCAATTTATGATTTATGTAACCCTGATACAATACTTTGGCGTTTTCCAGCCTGTGCACACAATTACACAAACATAAAAGAAGACAACATTTGAGACAATTAAACAAAAATGATCCAATAAATAAAATAGTTATGAACACAATGGCAGGGGTGATACGAACTTCATTATTAAAGCACATTTATAAACAACCTGACACTCGCATAATAGTATAAAACATCACCAAGCAGACAGCACATAGATGTCTTAAACTCTATGTGCCGCACCAACACATAGAGCAAAAGAGAGCTGCACGGTTTATAAACAATCTTCAGAAGGCCTACACAAAACACGACTGAGTTCTCCTTGTTGAACTCACCTGAATGGGAGTTGTGTGCACCGCTAACTCCTCCTCAATCTGCTCCAGGATTAATTTATCAGTTTGTTGGCCTATTCAAACAGACCAGCCCAGTATGTCAACACACCTCACTGCAGGTAAAGGTTCCTGAGTGAAAACATTATAATCTGGAGGATCCAGGTGCCATTAGGAATGAGCATTTAGCCACATCAATCGCGCACAAAGTAACATTGTGGATGCCATGTTTGAATGTCACCTAACGTGCTAGCAGGGTGGAGCGGTTCATTTATGCGTTTATTAAATAGTTAAAAAGTACAAGTATTCACATCATAATATACAAGTACAAGTAGTATAAAAGTAGTCATGCAGAATTTCAGAATATTGTTTATGATTTATTTATCAATATTTCAATTATACTGCATTCATCCTTTTAATGAAGCAACTGTGAAAGAGGGTGCTTATCTTTTCTAATACAGGCTACGCTACATGCTAGGCGATATTATTTTTAAATTTCCAATAGGCTTTCCATGGGTCCCATTTTTTAAGTTTGACTGGTGTACAATGCTAAATCGAGTACACTTCACTGATTTAGCATTCCACTTTTGTTATTTTTGTTAACTGCCTGACTCACAATGTTTTAAATTAAATCTTAAGCTTTAAAATCTCTGCAGCAGACCAGAGAAATCTTATTTGACATTCAACTAATTTAGTTTCTTGTCAAGACATGACGGCGCCTTCAACACCCAAAATAAAACTTTTTAGGCAACAGTTTGTGGACCTCTTTATACCTGCATGGGTTGGACATATGCTAGCCGTTACTAATGTGTCTTGAGCCTCTAGCCTCAAGCAGAGATGAGGAGGGGGCTGTAGAGGTTTGATAAACTCACTTTTTTTCTAATGCCACATTTGTCCTTCAAACTTGAAGTTTCCAGCCCTAACCAACACTCATGTGACATCATTTGGGGCAATTTATTAGATGTTCTCCCTTTTAAGCGACAAAAGGCTCTATTCAGCTTCTTTCACATATGCAGTAAGACTCCCCATGACCAAGACTGATGTGTACAATTGGAGGTTTTCCCCCTTCAAACATTTCCAGGAGCTTCAGCCAGTGTTGTAGCAACAGTATAATCCTCTAATCTTCATTCTCTCTCATTTCTACATGTCTCCCTGTCCTCCCTACTCCTATTTCTGCCCTTATAGTTTAGAGACAGCCAAATCCACAGCCCAGGCAGCCGGCATGGCAGCGCCAGTCGACCTCAACATGGCCTTCACCCAGCAAGCCTCCCCAGCTGCCTCCCCCGCACCCACCCTGGCCACCATGGGCGCCCTGACTCAGGCTCATATGCTGGGTAACCCATACGGTGCCATGCCGCTCTCCGGCCTGTTGGGGATGAAGTCTGTACCCTTTCTGACTCTATCCAGCCCCGGCCCCACTGTAGCCGTCTCCGCAGCACCCTCCCACTCTACTCTGGCCGCCTACACCGCCAAAATCTCCTCAGCCAACTGCATCAAAAAGCCAGAGAGACAGAAGTTTGCTCCTTACTGATGCAGCCTCTGGGTTCCGTGTCTGAAGAGTCAGATGAAGGACAGCTGCAGTGTTCTTCCACAAAACGCCTGATGTAGCCATATCCGCTGGCAGAGATGCTCTTGACTTTTGTTCTTTGATGCACCACCAGAGAAGAGACCAATGGAGATGTGGATAAAGCTTTTAAAAGTTATTTACGGTTATAGATCATTTGTGAGTTTCCCATGAATTGATGGACTGCTTTCATCGCCACCTCATCACTGTTATTGATCACACAAAAAAAAGGGCTGGAACCTCACCTGAGAAACACATGTTTAAATCCCAGTTTTCACATGTGTATTTCATGTTAGATATCAGCTTTTAAGTATTTATCCTTCAATACATTTGTAAATTATACTCAGATGAAAAATGCTCTACTGTATGATGCTTTTCTACAATGTCTATGTTTGCTTCTTGAAGTTTTGATGAACATTTGTAAATGTCTGGGGGGGTTGGGAATTTTTGTTTTTTATTAATCTGTGCTATGGTACTGTACTTTACTGTTCAGTGTTATGTTAATTTTGTTGGATTTTATTTTGAATGTGCAACTTGTTTAATCTTTATTTATTAGTATTGTTTCATTTATTAAAAGTCTTTTTTTTCCTGATGTATTTGTCTTTGTCTTATTTGTTGCACACTGGTGCACAAAAGGCTGCCCATCTGTTCATTCGCTTCACAGACATTCAGAGAGTAGACACAGCCCTTGAACTTGTGTCAAATTAATGTTGCAGCACAATAACACTGTGGACACAAAGAGATGCGGTGCCAGATCCTAGTTATTTTTTATTTTCTTCCAAACAGAGGCTGGACGGCAGCTTGTCATTCCACTTGCTATAATTGATGAGAGATGCTTTTCACATTACTGTGCCCTTGTGCCCCAAACAATAACAGCACAATGACACGATGCAACCCCAGAAGGGGGAAGAGCTCTGCCCGCATTCCACAGTATCCATTCCATAGTATCAACATGCATGGAGGTGCACAAAAACAGATCCAGTGTGGAGAGCATACTATACACAACTCACTCACTGTCCCTGAAGACAAAATAGGGTGGGAGTTTGCGATTAAAAAAGATAAGGAGCATTAAAAGAGAGGGAGAGAAGACAGTAATGCCGTAAAAATGAAATCCAGTATCTGCATCAGCATGCGCCACAGCATCATCACAGCGAGGCAGCGAGGATCCTTTCATCCTAACTTCTCTTTTTTTCTGTGACTGCATCATGGATATGCAAGACACGGAGAGTGCACACTCCTCATTGTTACCAAAGACATTTCAGAGGGAAAAAAGCCACAGCTGCATGCATACAACTTCAGTGTTATTCAACTGGAGTCCAACGAGCTGCAAGGCTAAAACACGGAGAAGTCTTGAAATTCTTCTTTCATCTTTTGTCGTGAAAGGCCGTTTGTATTTATCTGTCTTCTCACTCTGACACTTCAACATTTGAACGGCAAAGAAAATATAATAAACAGCCCTAATGCTGCTAAATAAGCTCAAATATAATTATTCACCTTCAGCTATTCTACTTTGATGAAATTTTCAGTGCTTTATTTCCAAACAGATTAGATACGGATTCTTTCTTATCATCCTACAGGAGTTATTAATGGGTCACTTGTGCCACCTGCAGGCCACACATCACTTCTCATTACTAAGATGGTGTCAACAGACAGTGAAGCAGATCCATGATCAGGATATTTGCTGGAAGATCTGTTAATATAACCTCACATTTGTTATATAGACCACATTTATTTATTTATATAAAACATCCCCCTAAACTAACGCTGCATTATCATATATCACATTAAAGGAAATGCTGCATTTAAATATCAAAGTAACGTTAGTGACAGTCTGAGGCTTGTGCTTGGGGGGGGGGGGGGGGGCGGGGGCAGGGTCCTGAGCTGTCACTGCACTGACAAGTTCTCTCTTTTTTTAAACATTGTTCTTCTTCTGTGGTGGACCCAAGGGTTGTGCGAGATGTGGTTACTCTCTCTCTCACACACACTTTAAGCACAACAGTGGTGAAATGCAGCAAAAATCAAAGTAAGTAGTTTACTTCTCTACAATTAAGATGTTTCATTTTTGGCCTCTTTAAACTCCATTTCCTATACGGCTATATTGTATATATTAATTTAGATGTAATCTAGTTACTTTTTAGTAAACAATGATTTCACTGCTCCAGTTACTTTTTATTTGTAGCTAGCCAGGAAGAGCTGCTTACATGTTAATGCATTCATAATAATACTATTAATGCGTTAAAACACATATTTATTTGTTTACCTTTTTGTTTTAATAGCCACCTGGTGAATGTTAGTCCAGTTATTCACCCTCTTATATATATATATATATATATATATATATATATATATATATATATATATATATATATATATATATATATATATATATGTTTAGAGCTTTTTGCCTGAATCAGCTGCCTGCTGCAGGAAACGACCCAATGAGAGCAGTGAGAGTTAACCAAAGTAAAGTTTTGTGCTGGACAGCTGAACAATGATCTGGAATTAACTATACATCTCTTAAAAGCAGAAGAAAGCTGCAGAATCAGGTCATTATTATATAGATTCATTAATATCAATGACCCGTTTCACAGTCTGTATTCGATTCATTATTATTGTTATTATTATTATTATATCCAGTAAAGTGCTTTAAATAAAGTATGCTAATACTTATTATACCACCGACTGAAACAAACACACATGCAAACACAAAACAGAGCAAGCAGCATCCATACTTTGCTGTCTGCTTCATGTCTTCATGACACACAGTGCCCCCTACTGTCCACTTGACATACTGCTCCAACAATCACAGCACAGCAAAGGTAAGGAGGAAAAGTTAGAGCTGATAAAAGATTGTCTTTAATGTTTGGCATCGTTAATGAATTCCATACCACAGCAGTTTATGGGAGTAGGAAAACCACTTTTACAACCAAACACTGTTTGATCATGCTAACACCATATGTACAGGAAAGCACATTGAAAAGTGTATAAAGTATTTATATGAGAAGACTCAAAGTCAAGAACGGTGGAGACAGCCACAGTCTAATGGATTTGTCCTTTTTCAAACACTGATTATAGATATTTATCAATTACACTGATCTCTGGATTACATGTATATACACAAACAACGATAAACCTTTTTTGGGCGTCTGCAATAATTCTCAAAAATATTTCACAATACTGCTGTATGTACAATAACAGAATTTACATTGAAAAATTCTATTGTACCTATATTTTGAGTATCACTTCAGTCACCAGTTATCCTCAGTGCCCTCAGGCTCACAAGAGATACTCACATATATATCTAACCTCAGGTTCATCTCCATACAAAGTACAGCAGCTGATGCAGTACCTGGGCCTTCTGTTGTGGTACGGCTTCTGAAATATGTTCACACAACTGATGATCTCACATACAAAAATAGATGTTGTCTAGTCAGCTGACAACTTGATGTACAGTAACACAAAGCATCCACCTGCAAAAAAAGCAACAACCAGGAAAACAAGTAATTGTTAAAATATTAGCTATATCCTTCCAACCCACTATATCGTGATAAACAGCGCTGTTCTCTGCTCCACAAAAAGTAAATCTCTCTTTTCTGTCAGGGCTTCAGCGTTCTTCTGAAACACATCATTAGTTTTCACACAACAGAAGGTGATTGAGAAAGAGCTGCAGGCAGAATAAGAATTATTAGCGCTACAAACCAAACAACAACCTGAAACCAAAGCTGGACGAAACCATACAAAACATCACTAGGTAGATATCCTTTTTTTTCCTTCAGGGAGCGTATAGAGAACCGAATGAAAAGGAGAAGGACTGTCGCTAAATGAGCTTCTCACAGTCCAGATGAGAGGTCAAACTGCATTTGAGTGCACTTAAGGCAGGTAGGCGATTCCAACGCTGTCTGAGTGGGCTCCTTGTCTGGCAGCTCAGTGGGCGGGGGTCTAGACAGTGTCATCAGACGCAACGCAGGACCACTGCTGCTGTCCAGGTTCAGCCCTCACTGCTTTGTAACATGGTCTGACAACCACACAGAGAAGGGTAACGATGGAGGGAGAGAATGCTTTACAGAGTCCAGCAGGAGCTTGAGATGTGGAGAGTTCTCCATCTGGGGAACATGACTAGTTTGGAACCTGTCTGTCAATGTCCTCAGTTTCCCCTCTCCTTCCTCTCCAGATATCTTTGTCACACAAAAGAGACAAATAGAGACTTCTTCAACATAGACTGAACTTAAAGCACTTAAACAAAAACAGCATTGCAGCTTGTGCAATACAAATAGAACATCTCGTCTGAATACATTCACGGAGGTTTCCGTACGCCAAGGTACGGATGGGAAATTGTCTGTGACTGAAGTTCGTGTCCCTTGAGATGCCGGGCCAGTCTTAGAGACTTGCGATTCATGAAAGCCTGACAGCAACCTGTGTCAGAGTGCGCCATTTGATATGATACACTATTAAGGAGCACTTAACAGTGTTTCGAAAAACATTATGGACATAAGCCTTTGAAAACACTATAATGTAATATGTATTTATTATCAAAATAAGAATTCATATATATGAAGCATTTAAAGCAGAGAAGTCCCTTCCCTTTGAATTATAACCTTCGGGTGTTTCCTCGTGTTGTGAAAATGCCATGAAAAAGCTAAATTAAGGGAGTTCAGAGCTCAAACTGCACCTGGGATCATGTTGGTTATGATCATGGTCGTCATTTTTCACAAAACTGTTGTCTTATTATTCTCAAATGAAAAAACATGCTCACAGACAAGTTGTACAATTTTGTACAATCAATATCAATTTCTGAACAAAGTCAATCTGTCTTTTGTTTAACAGATACATTTCTTTTAATTATATCTAAGAGGCCACACGGAGCAGTGACAGAGCCTCGTGCTGTAGATTTGTGGAGGTTCATCCCCTCTTTTCTTTCCTTCATGTGCACTGAAATTAAAGCGAGAAGTGTCATCTAAACACAGATCACCGCTTCACTAACGAATCTCCCTGTAACTGCCTTTAACTCAGTGCAAATGAAGGGAAGAAGAAAGCTCTAACTGAAGTATAGCGGACCCTCGTCATCACTGGGCCTCCTCGTGCTCCTCGCTGATGCACTGCTCCCAGGGGTGTTTCCCCTGGTCTTCACGGTGGCCGTGCGGGGAGTGGAAGATCCTGCGGGGCAGCGGGATGGGCTGAGGCGGCAGGTCCTCCTCTGGGATGCAGCCCTCTCTCAGGTAGGGTTTGGGCGGCACGGCTGGAGGCTGAGGCCTGCGGTAAGGGATGTGGTGGGGGCCGTGAGTGGGAGCGTGGTGGTGGGGCGGGAGCCCGTGGGAGTGGCTGTCCAGTCCTGGGTGGGCGTGAGTGTGAGGGTGCTGGTGGTTGTGCGGGTGTGATGAAGGGCTGCGGTAGTGGAAAGGGCGGACAGGGTCCACGGACTCAATCTCTGGTCCGCCGTAGTGAATGTGCAGGTAGGGAGAGGCCAGGTACTCATCAGGGGGGGACCACAGGTGACTGGGAAGAGGCTCCAAGGCGTCGTTCCTGATAGGGCCGGGGTCCGGATATTGGCCTCCAAAGTTACTCTCACTCAGAGAGGAAACCCCGCTGCTGGCGCTGCCTGACAGAGTGGAGTTACTACCCCCCAGAGCTGACTGAGGACTGGTGGGGGAGCCGGGGATCGGGTGGAGAGGAGACTGGCGAGAGAAACAGTCAAATAATTGTGTGTCTTTTTTTTTCAACTTACAGTCAAGGGAAAAGTTTTGAAACAACAACCTGAATTTAATTTCTACTCAAGCTGCCTTCACATACTGTCTGAAATGTTAGGATAACAAGTTGCAAATGAAGAAGATCAAGAGTCAACAACTACTTGCTTCTGAAACTGTCCATATTTCAGACATGTACTGTAGCAATGCCTTTGTAATTATAACTTGACAACCAGAGTTAAAAAAAAATGTGTGTCAGCACTCTATCATCAGGCATTTCTATAGAGTACAAATTGACTGAAAGTGAAGACAGTGTGTGGTTGTGTTGAGAACTTGGAAAATAGGAGCTTCTGTGAAGTCAGGGTAACCATGACAAAACACTGAAAATGTCAATATGATCATTTAAAATTGACATTCAAAAGAAGAGGGAGGATGAGGAGAGTGAAATGCCAAAAAGTTGCTACAAAGCTGTTTTGCGTCTGATATGTTATGACTATTTCTCTGTGGGCTGTACCTTCCGAAGTGAACGGATGGGCAGGGCAGGGGGGGGGGTCGCTGTTCTGGTGGTGAAACGCATCACAGTGCATCAGGAAGTGTCCTGCAAAGTGAAATTCATATGAGGAGATAAATAATGTATACAATACTTAAAAGGTCTTATGTAATGGTCTTAAATAGCCTTGAAACTCTCAATAGCTCTTAACCCCACAAAAACCCATAAAAGGGAATTTAAAGGAGACATACCTGGGGGGAAGGACCTGGGGGGCACGGGCGGCATTATGACCCCTCCAGTAGAAGTCGGCATGTAGGACACCGGCTCCCTGTTCTCCCCGTCCAGACTCCAGCTGCCGGGAGTGTTGGGAAAGACTGGAGAGGAAAACATGAACATGTCATCAAACACTGTGATGTATGTCTCATATAGACGATACAGTACATTTCAACCTGATTGTGTTGTCACCTTTCTCTGGCAGATTCATGTGAGGATCAGCACACGGCTTGCAGGGGCTAATTTGCTGAAGTAAAGCCCGCTGCATGTGGTTGTTCTGAAACATAGGATGAAGAATTATAAGCAGGGATGAGAAGTCACTGAAAACATAGAAATGTGTGATGTAATTGGGATACAAAAAAGTCTGTTACAGTTAAACAGGGAAAAAAGACTTAATCGCATTATCAATATCAGTTTAGTTAAAATGGGCATAATGAACAGAATATGATTTATAAATGGGTTTTTAAAAAAAACCTATACTGGTCTGGCTACTATAATGTGCCAAAAGAGCCCCTGGAAGTTTTACACACAACATAATGTTGACATTTTAGAAATTGTTTCTCTTGTCCTGCATATTTGGTATTGAGATCATCCAAAAGTAACAGAAAGTGATTAAGTTACATTTCTTAAATATTGTGACACTTAAACCAGGTTACTAACTGCATTATTAAAGTAACTATCTGAACCCTGATTGATTACAATTTGGTATAAGTAGAAAAAGTTTTGATTTTAAAACTCATAAGAACATTTAACACATTGATTTGAATAATTACAAACACATGTAACGTCTGGTATGTTTTGGACATTGATACACTGCACTGTACATACCTGTCCATTCTCTGCCATGTTGTAGTACATGTTGCTGGTCCTCTCACGATGAGACGGCAACAGGATCATCACCTCCCGGTTGTGTTTGGCCTTATCGGGCAAGGATGGGGATCCTAGACAGAGAAAAGATGAGGACATGTTTGCACAGCAACCTCTTTATATGTAACAGAGGAGTCATTCTAAAAATACAGTTAGTTTGTGTTGTGTAACCTTCTTCATATATTTCTTATTCTCAAGCATCTGCAAGAAAACCTCCATAGGGAAATTAAATATATACAGATTACACAGTAAGGATCATAATGTGACTTTCTTACTTACCTCTGGCACTCGAGGGAGCAGAGTTAATAATCTGGGAAGAATTGGAGCGGATTGAGCTCAGGCTGGAGGAGGAGGGGCTTGGCTGCAAAAAAAGAATTTAAAAGAAGTTCAAGAAGTAAAACATTTTTCGTAGTAGAAACATTTTAACACAAACTCATACCATTTCAACTGCTTTCATGAGGGTGTGTATTATATCAAGCCTCACCTGCATGTGTAACGCATCCTCAGAGTGCTCTCCCATCATGCCATCGTTCATTAGGACAAGGTTTCCTCCTGCCTCACTCGATGTGTGAGAGGACAGAGAGGAGGACGAGTGACGGATCGATCCCTGGAGGCTCAGAGGGCTGCAGGACAGAGACAATGTTGTAAAACCGTAATCTCCATGTTTTTATAAATGTGTCTGTGTGTCCATGTGTGTGTGACTGACCTGTGTCTGTGTATGAGGCGGACGCTCTCAGGGCTCATGTGGCTGTGGGAGGAAAGGATGCCTCTGGGAGAGTTAACCCCCGGGCAGCCTGCAGCGCCAAACCGATCCACACCAGGCACACCCTGCTGGGACCCAACCATATACTACTCTGAATATTTACACTGCTAAAACAAGCATTAAAACACTTGTATAACAACATACAGGCATATTCATAACACTCATCTCATACAAATGCATCGAAACAGACAATACAAAATGGCTATTTACAAATTTGTTAGTAAGAATAACAATTAAAAACACAGCTCAAACCAAAACTGAGCCAGATGTGGGACTACTCACATGGTGTAAACCTGTCCTCATCATGTGGAACTGATCTACCAGCTTTTTGTGCAGAGGACGCATCTCTGGATGCACCAGCTTCTCGTGAACAGCCAGCCCCACTCCCAGAATGTGCACCTGTTGACAGGAAACCAGAGGAGAAAAAGATTTATGGGGGATGTTCATATCTCCATTATGCAGTGTTCATTTCATTGACACAAAATTGGATTACAGTATAATTTTGACTACTACTACTACTTTGACAACATGATGGCAAGACAGCAACGACGTCATAAAACACTTATGATATCAAGATGCAAATAAAGACCAATAATGCTAAGACTAAAACGTAGTTTAAAAAATACAAACATTTTGAAAGATTTTTTTTTTTATTTTGACAAAAAGGTGAAGAACTGTTAATTTTTTCCCGAATATCATTTCCTGTGGTTTCGTAGACAATATCAGTAATAAACCAGCAACAGGGCTTTGATTAGGCCGAATAGACCATATGTTATATAATATACATAAATATAATCTGATGACTTAAAAAGACTAAAATGTCAGGAGTTTTTATTGACTAAGACTGAAATAGTTTCAGTTTTCTTTGATTAGGATAAGACTAAAATGCGAGTTTTAGTCAAATTAAACTTGACATAAAAACAGGATTAGCTTGGATATAATATACAGTATATCTGATCAAAACTAGTAAGGACATTTGACACAGAACTAAGACTAAATAAAAACACATTTGTTGTTACCTGTTCCTGCATCAGATCCTTTAGATGAGTGATCCTCTCTGTATCTTCTGGGTGACTGCTGATGTAGTCCTTATCAAAGAAGGCCTGTTGAAGAGGAGAAGATGAGGATCTCTCACAACGTTGAACCAATTCACACATTTGAAACGTCAACCCGATTATGTCTGTCTTCTTGTGTACCTCCTGATATCTGGCGATGCCTCCGTTCACAGCAGCATCTATGACCCCATTTAGGCACATGCTGAGCGGGTTGATGTTGCCATGATGCTGTCTGTGTTGGTACTGGCTGATCAGAGTCCGAAGCTCCTGGGTTTTATTCTCCACCACATAAATGGCATTCTCCAGAGGGCTCACCTCCATCTGTAAATAAATAAACACAAGATATAAGGCGAGAAAGTATGTGTATATAACTTCTAATTTGACATACTCTCTGGGAAGCATAGAGAGCTTAAGAGAAACTGTGTGACATCCCTCAGCATGTGCAGGATGAGGTGATGGAGAGTGAATGTTTAAGCTGCTCACCACTTCTCTCCTTTCCACCTCGGCCCAGCGGGAGATCCCGGGGAGAGGACGGGAGAGGATCAGGGTCGTTCTCTCAATCCAGAGACTCTGTGAGAGCAGAGAACGGTTATGCAGTCTACTATCCACCACATCTGGAAACCATTTTAACACTTCAAATGGAAGTTCACGATATGAGTTATCAGTCGGTAAAGCTTTAGAGGATCCTAAGTTAAAACTCCTGGTGTGGTGTGATTTCAAAATTAGGTTACTGTGTCAGTGGAAACTAAGGTACTAGATCATGTCTGGTTTAACCCTTAGATGCACGAGTGACTGGACCCTACACTCTTCCATAAGTGGGTCAAAAAGGACCCACATTAGAATAATATGTGTTTTTAGGCAATTTTTGTCATTTTGGTTAAGAAAAATTACTTGTATAATATTTAGTATTATATTTTGGTTCACACTAGAAATATTTTATATTTAATTGTTCACTATTTATAATTTTAGACACTTTTTTACATTTTGAAAAAAACGTTTTCCCATAGGATTCCATAGAACATGCATGCGGGTAATCTTTGACCCACTTATGGAAGCTTGCGGTATTAATACAAAAACTACAATTTCTTAAAATGTAAATACAACATTTGAATGGCATGATATCCAAAACATGTTTTTTGAGGAATAGCTGGAATATGAAATGATAACATTTTTTAATTACAAAGATACTTCAAGAAAACCACCTCACCGGGTCCATACAGTAAATACCCACACATCTAAGGGTTACGTTTCTAAAGCCCTATTGGCTGTACTTGGACTAGATACAAGGGGAGGGAGTAACAAAAAGGGCTGATGTTCAATAAATACGTTGATCAACAGAAAATACAGTAAGTCATCAATAATTGTGATCATTTAACTAGATTGTCTTTTCCTGTATGCTAATGCAGCTTTCTGTCATAATCGTGGAAATGTCCTTCTTGCCACATTACATCATTCTGCAGTGTTTTAATTACTAATAAACCTGCGGAGAAATAATCTGAGAAACTGGAGAGGTAAATATAAAGAGGAGTATATCTTTGTCCTAATGATGAAAACACTGCAAGCTTTCTGAAAACCATGGCATCTCTCTGACACTCTATTCGTTTCTTGTCAGAATCACTATCTCTCCCTTTACCCCCATTTTCTCGTCTTTGTCCTCTCTTTGTCCTTTGTTTGTCCTTTGGGAGATTCACCAACATTGCTGTATCTAAGAGAGTTGATTCAGATTCTATGTGCATGCTTTTCCTCTTTCTGTATGAATTGTGTTATTGAGTTTGGCCTCTAGTTTGTTTGTTTGTTTGTTTGTTTTGTCTATCATCCACCAGGTTTCCATGGTGGGTCTATTTGTTATATCTGTTGTTTGTTGGACGTTATTGACGTCCTCCCAAATCAATATTGCTCATATAACTATTTTTTTGTCAACCAGATTGTCCTTACCATAATTTTACCCAGCTTTTTCTAGTGTGTGGATATTTGTCATGGAAGATCATTTTCTCCATATTTTTCCAAAATAAAAGGTTTTTAGGAATCTAGGGGCTGAAGGATGGAGGGTGTCATGTGATGATACAAGTATTTTAAGGCGCCTTGAGGTAAATTAGTGATATTGTTCTATATAAAAACTGACTTGACTTGTCCTATATCAGCCAAAAATACCTCAGCATGAATCTAACTAAGGCTTTGAGTGTTTGTCCCATTCCATGTTTTTAACCAGCATCTCATCTGAATTCAGCATTTCTGGAGAGACACTGAACAGTGAGGCAGAAATGGACTGAGCGGGGCACTGCTGGTTCACCGTACCCTGAACTCGTTCTCGCGGTCCTTGGGCCCCTTGTGGAAAGGCCTGTCATAGTGGAAGCGGCTGACATTATTTATGCGGTAGAAGCTCTTGATCCTCTCGGGCACACGCTCCAGCTGAGGCACATCAGAGATGTCTGACACTGGAGTCACTGCATAGATCTGCAAGTCTAGAAGTCAAGTGTCAAGGAAATGACAGAAAGACAGACAGACATGCATATTCACAGAGGAGGAAGAGCAGGAGGGATACTCAAAATAAACACTGACAAAGGGGGTTTGCTTTCACTGTCTGAAATCAATTTCAACATGCCGTGATACTATTTATTCTGTAACATCATGAAGATCATTCATACATCAGCAAATCATAGTGCAAGCTGTAATGGTAAAACAATTAGTAAATATAATTAAAATGAATTGCCAACAATGTTCATAATTGATTAAACATTAACTTTTCACTGTTGTAACCTTTCTGAAATGCGAGGATTTGCTTTTATAACATTAGGAAATAAAAATAATTTAATTACAGGTTGTTGTTTAGATAAACATGCAGATAACTGATGGCTTTAGCGCAGTAAACTGTGTAGGATACACTGAGCGTCACTCTGCAGGATGGTGTCATCTGGTTGGTTCGGATGCTGCATGGCAATGGCTTGTGGAAATTCCCCCAGCATCCTTTGCTGGAAGTCCTCGAGCCGTTCATAGTCATAACCACGACAGACAAACTCCTTGTTCTACACAAAGGCAAACATCAATGATGACATGTTAATGAATAACTTTTGTACACAACGGTTATAGTTTAATAATAAGTCAACTTGTGCTCTGATTTTATTGCTGAAGAGCTAGAAGTACTAGATGCTTTAGTAAAAGTCCAAAATGCACTCTCTTTTAACCCCTCTTCCAAATCCTGAGGGAAATGTAGCTGCTAAATGTTTAATGATGTGCTTCAGCTAGTCACCAACTGTGTCTGCTGCTGTTAAGTCCTGAGAAGCTAGTGTACAGATGGCTTTCAAATGTGTTTTCTTGCTAAAAACAGCCTCCTGCAGAAGAGAAAAACACTTTAAGAGAGAGTACATCAAAAGTAACATCAAAGTTTAGCTGGAAACTAAACAATGTCATCAAACTCCATTTAAAGCTCAGTAAAGTAAGGTGGAGCTGCAGGTTTTGGCGAGAGGTCTGTTTGTCCATTACGCAACAGTTCTCATCCTCTCATTGTCTTTTTAAAGATTATTATACAAATATAGATTAGAGCTGCTTTAATGAAATATATGACATTTGGGCTTGTTATGTTGCTTAAAACAAACTCTAAATGGTAAAATAAGTGAATGAAATAGATACTTAGAAATGTCATGGACCCATTTTCTTATATTTTAAGATGATCCAGCGAAAATGTAATTATTTATCTAGAGCCTGATATTTACACAAAAAGTTATAATATACTTTAATGAGATTCATAACAGCAATAGCAGAGAACGGCTGATAGAGGTATAACCCACTTATTTTCAACTCTATCCCAGCTTTCTCTCTATTGCTTCTGACTTGTTCTCCCGCTGAAGCATGAAGGAGAAACGTAGCCATGCGCATCAGCAGAATCACAACTGTGTCAGGACAGGCCAAGATGAGATTTAGTAAGTCGTACCCTGAGGAAGAAAGGAAACTTCCTGCCATAGAAGCCCATTCTGAAGAACTCCGGCTCGATCCTCTGCTGCTCGATGATGTTGTCATAATACGCTGCCTCCATTTTCTGTCACAGAATGATACACATGCAAAGGAGTCATGATGAATAATAATTTAATAACACACATTACTGTAGGCTCTGTGTTTGCTGATGAGTGTGGGTGTGCACAGGTAATTAGGACATTGTGTTTGACGCTGTCCGGACATCACACTGCATAACAGGGTGATGGTGAAAAAGGGAGCTGGAAGTCTCACCCTCCAGCATCACAAATGATGTGTGTTTTATAATAACAGGAAGCATAAGAGACTTTACTTACCCGTATCCAGCTGAGGCTCTGATAATCATATAAAGTCTCGTACTGGAAAGCCAGCTCCCGGCAGAGAGAGATCCCATATTCCCAGCACTGCAAAGTCAGAGATAAATTAGATGAATATAAAGAAAATCCTTTATGTGAGCCTTATCATTTGAAAGTAAGCAGAGAAAAAACGTAGTGAGAGTCTACCGAAGCAATGGATTTGGAATTCAAAATAGCTTCAAAATGTATTTGATAAATGAAAAAGGTCGATCTAAAGTCAGTCTTTCTTTATTTAAAGTGGACCTATCATGCTATATTTGAAACATATATTGTAGGGCCATACCTATATAAAACACGTCTGTGCATTTTAGCCATGCCTCATTTCGCTCTATTTGCTCTTTTCCAGCCCTGTTTTTGCAAGGGCTAATTCTGCGTTTGTGGCAGACTACAGCGCCACTTACAGGCCTGGCATATGTACTACAGCGTCTCCAGCACTTTCGAGCGGTCTCTCATTCCCCTGATAGGTGGAGAGTTGCCCATATAGGCGGAGCACCCCTTTTCTGACGTCAGAAAAATTCAAATAATAATCCGTTGCAGCCCCGTTTTTAGAGATTTGGGTATGGAGGAAAAGAGAGAGGGTTGTGTTTTCTGACACACCGGGGACACATATTAATGTATAAAAGACGTACAAAAGTGCATTTTGCATGATAGGTCCCCTTTGAATGAAGTTGTATGTACATTAACATCCCATCATTCATTTATTTTTTACATAAAGTCAGCACCAGCGTCTACGAATAATTAAAAAAACAGGAGCAACTTGCATGTTAATTTTTTTACTGGATTATACAAGGTTTTGTTGAGATGGTTACTGGAAAAGTGGAAACGTATGTTTTTATGTTTTACAGTACATAACATGATCGGCTTCTTCTCTGGTTTCCTGATAAATCTTTCTATGTATTTTGTATGAAGGGGTTGCCTCCCTTTGTGAGTCAGGAGAGTGGGAGAGCCTGGAGGAGGGGATCTGTTTAGGTGTTGAGTTCAAATATCAACAATCTTCTCCAGAATCACAGACTCAAACTTTAATTTGCCTACATTGTCAACCTTCAAGTTGTTCTTGAGAATATTAAGCTCTCTATTTGTCCTGGACAGATTTGAACATTTGTTACATCAGCAGATGAATCCCACAGGTACAGAACCGTGACTTATTTTTTTCTATGAGGGCAGCAATAAAAACTAGATAGGACAAAGAGTTATTGAAGGAGGCCACTTTTATTTCCTCCTCAGCTGCTCCCACAGTCCAGAGGGCATTGTCCTCTCTGAAGCACAGACACCAGTCAACTAATCTAATGTTGTGGATGAATACTAGCCAGGAAGGAGTGAGTCGAGGAAGCAAATCTCATTTGAGCCGATATCTGACCCTTGTGTGGGCTAATCTTCATAGATATTTATATTATATCATATTCACTGTTTGCTTAAGCACAGAATACTTTTTTATGATATATGCCAAAGCAATGAAAATGAGATGCTGTTGTTTCAATAATCCACAGTTTTGGTTCTGCTCTCTTCACGGTAGAAAGGATGTTGCCTAAAATATAAAACATGTGCTGGAAAATACATTTACTCTAGTGTTGAAATTAAGTGCAGTTTTGTTGTACTAACTTGTGTTTTTGTACTTCTTATCTTGCTTTTATTTGCATTATTTGTAATTATATTTGTATCTATTGCCCTACATCAGTGTTATTGGACAGCATGTTTGCTTTGTACATGTCTTGTTTCTTGTTCTGTACCTGTTTTTGTATCTTGTTGTTTGCACCTAATAATCATTTGTTACTTCTCATGTTTGTGTCTGGGACCAGAGACAACTGTATTTGTTTGTGTACTGTGCAGCAATGTGTAGATAAATGACCATCAATTATCTTATCTCTTTTTTGGGACTTGTCCAGCACAATCCTAACAACACCGCTCCATCAATATAAAGCTAACTTTGCCTCGCCTCCAGCTTCAGTTGCAGTACATAGAGGCAGGAGTGAGAGATAACCCTATAAATATTCGCTTGCCTTGCCCTTGTTGAAGTAGTGGAGGATTTTACGACTCAGGTTCTCCTTGCGTTGCCACTCGCTCTGACAGGGGTAGTGAAGGAAGTCCCTCAGGGGCCGGTCCTCCCACTGCAGCAGCTCCCAGTACAGTAGCAGGGTGAACGCTGCCTCTGTTGTTGAGGGGGAACAGGTCAGAGGTCATCAGCAAAAAAATCTAGTAAAACTAACCATGTTGAATAGTTTACAGACTCGAGATGCAGTGATACACTAATATATTTTTCCAGTTCTCGTGAACATGTGGCAAAATGTCAAAAAACACAAAATGCCCAGAGCATAGAGTGTGTTGCTTTATTTGCAAAAGGAGGAAGTGCAAAATGTTGCACCTGCACAGAAATCGTATCAGCTGCTCTCAGTACTTTTACAATGTTCTCAGTTGCTTTGGTACATCTTATTATTACAATTCGGAAAAATGCTCCAACACAAAATTTGACAGCAAATACAGTTTATGTTTCATTTCAAACTAGTTTCTTAGTCGAATTTCAGTTTGAGACATTTAATTGTTTTGTATTTTCTATGTGTGAATTCACATTTTTTAAGAACACTTTGTTAGGGGATTTACAAAAATAAACACATGTGCAAACACAGCCAACTCTGCAGAACATGAAATGTGTTTCAGTCATCTTGCCAGCTGCCGGTTGTTTGTTAAGTGATGAATAAGGTTGTACTTGATTAGTCATATTTGGCTACTTTAACATGCACACAATACAGCCACCACTGCCAATAACGTGAGTCAAGCAAGAGCACTTAAGACATTTAGAAGATTACATGGAGTCACAACTTCCCCTGATTTATTTTTGACATCGTGAGTGGCAGTACCAGACCTAATTCTGTCATGATTGTGATCTCAATGATTATGTTTGTTCATGTTTCTCTCCTAATGCCTCTGAAATCAATGGGAGAGGGGAAACAGCACAATAAGTAAAACCCTCTCCTTTACCTGTGAAGTCCTCTGCTTGGAGATGCAGGTCACACAGCTTGTGGATGTAACGGATGTACATGTCCTCCTTGTTGACCTCTGATTTGTAAAAATTCTGTGGATGAATTAAACATAATGGTTACAATCTAATTCCATGTGTGAATATATTCATAAACGCGTTCTTCAAACTCTGCCGGGAATGACTCACCATGAGGTTGACGGAACCGCCAATTTTCTTGTTCTCCATCTCATCTCCTTTCATGCAGTCCCTAAAAATATATTTCAAAATATTACTGCTCTGTAATTCCATGACATAAACCATCAATTTGATTATGTTTAACGTAAACTGTAATCTCTGCATACCTGTAATCCAGTAATCGCTCCACAAGTCTTGTGACTGATGTGACAAATGAGATCCCCGTCTCTCTCCAGGTCTCCTGCTCTATCTTCTCCAGCAGGCTGCACATAAAACACAGTGAGATGTTCTTACTAAAGGTGACAAGCACAGGGAGTAAATAGATATGAATGACAACGTCTCTCCGTTTTAGCTGTGAGAGGACTACAGCTCACCTTGGATAAGGCCCAAACAGCATGGTCCTGCAGTGTGACAGGCAGACAACACAGAGAGTATGTTAGAGGAAATACCATGAGAGCAGCATCACTCTGAGTATCACTCCACAGGCTCACTAAACACAGGTTCGATGCTTACAAAAGGCTGAAGAGCTCTCTGTGGTTATCATCGCCTTTCCCATCTGACACCATGCTGTCCAGTTTATCCATCAGCTCTGCCTCCACCTACACACAAAAAAGATGTTGATATATATTATACGCCAAAAATATGTCAATTTCTTTATCACAGCTACTGCGTCACACAATCTGCCATCATTACATAACACTATCATAATGACCTGTTTGAAGTTGCCGTTTTTCCTCTGCTCCCAATCCATCATGTCGTGGAAAATTGGGATCATAATATTTCGTACTTCGGTCTGAGGCACCAAGGTGACGCCGAGGAAGGGACCCATCATTCCTGGGATGAAGTGGGGCTTGTTGTCACCTGGATTACAAAGATTATTATAGATTGCAGTCCTATTTGTTGGTCATTTCCTAAAACCTTTCTGTATTTTGTGTTTTTGTGTTTCGAGTCAGGTTGTCTGACGTACCTAATTTCTGCCACATGCTGAAGAGCTCATAAGCCATCATGACTCTCATATCTCCATGCCTATAAAGAAAAGAGTAGTGCATGAAGAATGAACAGTTAGATAAATAATAAACCTGTGTTTGATAGAATCCACACAATTAATATCCTGAAGTTTATTACTGTTGAGGAAATTCTTAAGAGAAACTGATAAATGATTCATGGACAAAGTTTGTCTTTTGTTATATTTAAGTAAGTAATAAAGAAAGTCAATATACATGTGAAATTTGACAGGACACTTACTTGTCCAGGATTTTCTTTCTCTTTGCCGGGCCGAGTGCCTCCAGCTGCAGACTGGGCTGGTTGATGTACAGCACAGTGAGGCTGAAAAACGAGTTCCACACCTAACAAACCACAGACAAAAACAAAAGTAAATAAATGCTATGTTGAAAATGTTAGGAATGTATTCAATACATCACACAGTCTATGTGCTGGGTTTCCTAAATGCTTGCCCCCCGCTGCTCGGACACACCTTGAAATCAAAGTCAGCCTCAGAGAAGTTCTTGTGGAGCGCGGGAGACAGGAACTGTGTTGTCACTACGATGATGCTGCAGAAAGCAAACAACACACTGTCAGCTAACAGAATGAGCTAGCTGCCAAAAATAGATGAATAAATTGCAACACAAGCGTCACCTTCAGATCAGGATTATCTTAAGAGACTCTGATCTAATGGTTGGCTGTATTCCCTTACCGTCTCTGGGACAATGACTGCATGACAGAAATGGAAAAGCAGACTCACTGACTAGTCAGAAGCCTCATGACGCTCCAGTCTCGGGGAAAGATATTCAGTTTCATCAGATTGCGGAACACGCAGAAGATCTTCAACAGGAACTCCTAAAAAGGATTGTATTAGTTAAGTGTTGCAATAAACAGGCTGAAGCAAAATGATTTGATCATTTGCAGCCGGAGGTATCCTACCTTTAACTCCTCTTTGCTATGGAAGTTGTTGAGTAGATGGTGAAAGTGGAGCTCTGACATCGTCTGCAGCAGAGAGAGAAGACAGGAAACATACTCCCCCTGCCAAAGAAAGTGACAGAAATGGGCATTGAAGGTTAATCCACTCAAAATATTAACTCAAATTCAACCTGTTTTAATTGCACGTCAAAGAGACACTTTGAGTAGAAGCTCACCGTTATCTCCGCCGTGCACTGGGGGCAGCGCTGGCCTCTGGACGTCTCCACAGAGTGAGACTTGCTCATGATGGACAGCAGGGTCTGCAGCAGCACATCCAGAAGGCTCTCCACCATCATCTCCACTTCCTCCTGAACAGAAGACTCCTGAGACACACAGACATGCAACACGTTCCTTATGGGAATGCTTTAGTATGTGTGCTATCATGCTGAGTGCATTTCAATAATCTAATCTAGTTTTTTTAAGTACATTTTATATTGCATTTTACAATTAAATGAAACCTTTTTTGGAATCACATTCAATGTTAAGTCCTATATGCTGAATATGCATGGTATATTGTTCAGTACCATTGAGCTAGTCTTAATGATGGCAAAGATGCTAGCAAGGATCCCAGAACAGATGAGCAGCTCCCTCTGCTGGCGCAGATGCAGGTGGATGTGATGCAGAACCACCGGCAGCAGAATACTACGAGACTCTGTGGCAAGAGAGGAATAACAGAAAGGAGGCAGATTGAAGATAAAATGCATTTTGGTATCTTCAGAAAAATGAAACACTTTGCATAATCATTAACAAGTGTCCTACCAGGGAAGAAGAAGAGGCGGCTCTCCACTGTACGAGCGATGGACTGCAGTTTGACTACATCCATGGACTGGCCGATGTCCACTGTGCTGGGCATGCTCCCTAGGGTGCCTCTGACATATTCGGCCACCTCCTGAACGGTAAACATCTGCAGCAGCTCATCAAAGATATCCGGGAAACTGTTCAACAGTGCTGCCTGGTGGGGGGAAACAAAGGACACAGATAAAGGAGTTTGAAGGGTGCATACGGAATAATATTGTCACAAAAAGCTGCACTGACATGAATAAAAGCACCACAGAACATACCAGTAATAACAAATATTCTCTGAGTCACACAAAACTAAGCAAACCTGCAATTCATCCTTTAGAACAGGGGTGTCCAACTCAAGACATCATGTTATGTGGCCCGCAAGAACTTGCAAAGAATATTATATACAATACAATTGGTGTAATTGTTGAAAATGTTGCTTTCAATTATTTGCCCTAGACTTCTGCTTTCAGACGTAGTTGTTTATGAAGTTATTACCAGAACTGATAATAATTGAATGCAGAGCCAATAATGTAATATAATAAATTATTTAATATATGTTATATATTTATATATGTATATTTATATAGTCTTAAAGTTATAACCGGCCCTTTGAGTGCAACCATAATGCTAATGTCGCCCACAATGAAATTGAGTTTGACACCCCTGCTTTAGAAGAAGCACCAACATTTTAAAACACAATACATGGCTTTCCGCAGCCATAATCTCAATTTAGCACTGATTCAGGAATACATCTTCCTTTACATCGACTGCATTGTGGAACCAACACAGGGGGGCGCTTGTGACTTACTGAGATGGACGAGACCCCGGAGCATGATACCACAGAAAAGCATGCAGCTGCTCACACCTCTAAACTGTCCCAGAGCAAGACAAGGACGGGGCGAGGGGTTAAAGCATGAGTCACAACATGCACAGATGAAAGGTGAAATAAGTCAAAAGAATTAAAATAGAAACAAGTTAACAAATAAAAAGTAAACAATAAATCATGAATGAAACGTAAGATGATGGATAAATAAAAACATATATGATAAAAAGTTGCGGACCAGTTGACGCACTGTACGTCTTTAGAGCAGTAGAGTTTAGTGTGAACTTTCTGACCTGCGTGAACACCAAGTTCTCTGAACTGCGGCTGTCCAGACTCAGGACGAAGCGGATGGACTGGAAAAGCTCCTGGATGCTCGCTCTGAACTGCTCCTCCTCCATCCCACAGGTGGCTCTGGAGTACAGGATGCGAGACTGGACGATAAACTTGAACAGGTACTCTAGAGCCTGAGGGGGGGGGGGGGCAGGAAGCAGAGGGAGAACTGCAGTCAGTGAATGTAAATGTAATTTCACACAATGAATTTCAATAAACGAAAGATACGTTTCCACTATTCAGATTTTGTAAGAGAATACTTCTCTATGTGTTTTTTCTGAAAAGGAAATTCAAAGACCATGCGGAAATGTTTCACTCTGAAGTCCCTCACTGAGGCCTTACATGGCTTCACATTACTCCTTATCAGTTCCTCTGTTACAATTTCCTTCTAATTAATCAGAGTAGAAGGAGCCAGGAAAGACAGAAGGAAGGGAATTGATACTTTACCCTCATGGCTTCCTGGATGTGGTCCTGCCGGACGACCTCAGCCGAGCGGTCCATGTACCACTTCAGACATCGAATCAGCTCTCTGCAGAGACACAGTTTAATATTATGAGGCTCAACATCAAGTGTGACTTTGTAGGTTATTTAATTGAGATTTTCGTTTGTGTTTTAATGTTTTACTTGTATGCCAAAGCTCCAGCAAAGTGGTTTTGGATGTAGGCGTCCATGACAGGTCTGAAGTGGTAGAAACGGCTGTCCCTGAGCAGGTTGATGATGAAAACCTAAAAACATATTCATATAGATGTTAAGCTTATTTTCTCTGGCTACAGGCAAAACAAATCATGTAGTAGAGTATACTTATGCTCCTTTAAGTTTCCTACCAGTGACTGGAAAACCAGCGGTCCGTATTTATCAGTGTTGTCATCTAAAAGACAGAAGAGCGTATCCAGGACATCTCGCAGGAACTGTGAGGAGAAACAAAGGAACACACAGGCTTCACATTAAAGGCCTCGCTGGAAACTAAAATAGAAACAAAGGGTAGCCCATTCATCCAGAAACACAGAAATAAAAAAAACGTTTAGTTCTGAAATGAGGTTTACAAATTAAAAACAGTGTAAAATATGTTAAATAATAATATTATAAACACATAATCAGTAAGTCACACTTAAAATGCACCTTAGAAAACTATACTACTGTCTTTTCTGTTATTGGATTACATATTTTGTTTAGCGTATAGTCAAGTACACCCAATAACCTCCCCTGCCGCACAGAAGGTAAACATTAATAATTCTCTTCATGAAATATGAATAATATGACGACAGTGACCTTGACAATCTCCTCTCCACTAATCTGACGTAATCGACCGAGGATGTCCAACACTCTGTCTGGATGTGCCTTCCAGTTGAGAAGAGCCAGCAGGTCCACTGGAAACAGAGTAAACTCAAATTGAGTTTAATTCAATCCAAGGGGAAATATAAATAAGAGCGTGTGAAATGGTGAATTACCATTTTGTGTGAGTTTGGTGGAGCAGAGTATTGTGGAGACCGAGAAGGTTTCTTTGGGGCTCCTCTGGAAGGGCAGGTTGGCCGGCAGGTTGGGGCAGCTGTTGAAGTCTTCTTTGCAGCACGGCAGACTCAGGTACAGACCCTGGTTACTGAAGGTGGCGTTTTCATCACACTGGAGGACAGATACCGAGGGAACGAGAGGGTTTATTATGGTTTAAAGGCAACTTGGAGGTCAAAGAAGTTAACGAACAATGGCAATGAACCATCATCATCTTCATTAGGGACGGAAAGTTGGGGTTGTCATACTTTCTTTATTCTGAGGGGGATACTTTAGGATGCTTACAACAAAGTTACACTGATCAAACATATATTGCAAACTAACTGGATGCAGATAATCATATCTAACCTGTAGTATTTGGATCCTGTTGTATTTTTTACTTTTTATTTTAATCATCCAGAATATTGTTATTGGTTTGTTAAAATGTGATATAATATTTTTCATTTTAATTGTTAATTCTCTTTTCAACTTTGATAAGTATTGTATGTATGATAGTCCTGAACACACTGCTGCTTCTGTGACAAAATAACTTTCCCCAACTGGGAGCAAGGTAAAGTTGCTAGCGAGCCTAGCGAGGTAGCGAGCGAGCAAGCGAGCGAGCCAGCGAGCGGCGAGCGAGCGAGGACGTAGGCACGAGCGATCCAGCCAGCCAGCGAGCGAGCGAGCGAGCGAGGAGCGAGCGAGCCAGCGAAGCGAGCGAGCGATCGAGCGAGCGAGCGAGCGAGCGATGCGAGAGAGAGAAAGCCCAGCGAGCAAGGGAGCCAGCGAGCGAGCGAGCGAGCGAGCGAGCGAGCGAGCGAGCGAGAGAGAGAGCGAGCCAGAGAGCGAGCGAGCGAGCGAGCCAGCAGCGAGCGAGCCAGCGAGCGAGCGACGAGCGAGCCAGCGAGCGAGGAGCGAGCGAGCGAGCGAGCGAGCCAGCGAGCAGCACGAGCGAGCGAGCGAGCAAGCCAGCGAGCGAGCGATCGAGCAGCGAGCGAGCCATCCAGCTATCGAGCGAGCGAGAGCGAGCGAGCGAGCGAGCGAGCCAGCGAGCGAGCGAGCAAGCGAGCGAGCGAGCGAGCGAGCGATCTATCGAGCCATCGATCGGTCTAGGGCTATCTATCCATCTATCTATCTATCCATCTATCTATCTATCCATCTATCTATCTATCTATCTATCTATCTATCTATCTATCTATCATATACTGTTGTATATAATGATATGTAACAAATTGTGGCACAGTAGGAATATTTCTTTAATCATTGTTGGGCATTTTGTATTTATTTGACGGTGAGACAGACAGACAGTGGGAAGAGAGTGGGTAAAATGCCATACCAGTGCTATAAGGACCCTAATGGTATGCACTCTACCCAGAAAGCAACAAGTGCGCCCACACAAAAGGTTTCTAAGGCTGTTCAATTGATGATAGATAAATACAGCACATTATCTTTTCCAGTAAAAGGTAACTGGATTTTTTTTTTACACCTTCTAAATGTGCATGAAAATCTGCAGACATATTCTTCACATCCTCTTAGTTGATTATGTTATGCTTGTATTATTGTTGAATGAGACAACTCATGTCCACTCACCTGGACAGGGTTAACAGTCCTGAACAACACTTTAAATGTACACTATTTGATCAGTCTCTCAGGGTTGCTCAGCTATCACATGGTATATACTGTACATGTTTCTAGTGAAATAGAGCAGAGAAAATGGATGGTGCATTTATTTACATGTTGGCAGAGCACAGAGTGACCGAGGGTCCACTGCTGAGAAAACACAATGAAGACAAACAGAGCGCTGGCAGCAGCTGGCACCCTGCCACAGCTGGGAGACTTTTAATTTTAAGTTCAAGACACAAAGGTCATAGTTAAAGAGACAGCAAAGTGTGTCTTGTTAATATTGTTATATAACAACAATCATTATGACATCATGCATCTTTTTTTTTATAGTTGATACAGAACACTGATTATCTAATATGTGTGTTAAAACTTAAAGATTTTACTGAATTACAGACTTCCCTAGTTGATGAAAAACATAATACTACCAGATGATGATAGATGATGAGCAACATGGAAATGTAACTTTAAGCATCAGTTTGCACGGACTTCTTTAAAGCAGATGTGTATCTCTGTAGTTGGCGTTAAACTGTGGAATTCTTTAACAAATGATTTAAAGGGCTGTATGGACATCTTTAAGTGTAATCAAATGTATAAAGAAAGAATAATTAGACAGTATTAAGAAGTCAGGTAACCTGTTTCGTTGATGGTAGTTTGTTGTGTTTATCGTTTTATGTTACTGAAAGTATTGGTTGTAAGCAGCGGTGATTAACAGACCATCTATTTTTGTGTAAGGGGCAGCTAAAATAAGACCTCCCTGCTCCTTTCCATCATGGCCTATAAAAAACTGCTTAAAGTGTCGATGTTTTGTTCCATGAGTGGAATAAAACTAAGATATAATATATAATAAACCTGCACATACCTTGTACACATATAGCTCATGGCTTTCATCTGACAGTGTGGTCCCGTCCTCTCTCATCAGAGGAGTGAACGCAAAGCCAAACAGTTTTTTCTCTCCTTTGTCTTTAGCTGAAAAGAAGCACATCATAGTATCATTCATCATCATACTGTATCAGCACAGCCCAACTACTTGTATAACTCAGAGCGTGATCCAATCTGTCCGAATAAACTCATACGCTGAGGGATGACTGCCACCGGGCTGCATTAGTGACTCACTGGAGCAGTGTCTGAACTCGAAGCGTAGGTGGGATCCTCTGAAACGATCTATGGGAATGGGCAGCTTGACCATCTCACTCCAGCGAGGGCTGTTGTTGTGGTAAAGGACGAAAGAGCGATATTCGCTGGAGCTGGGCTCGCCGCTGCCCAAACTGATGCAGTCCTGAGAAGAAAGGCAGCACAGTAGGTTGTTTTTAGTGACATATACTGTTAATGACGTATCAAATTAGTGTTAATGACACATGAGGAAGTATGGCAGAAAGGTTACACTCAATAACTCATGTACATATGTGTCATACTTTGAGTGTGTCCCCGTCGGCGTAAAGTACGTAGAGCGTGACTTCGATGTTCTTCTGGACGCTTTTGCCGCCCCTCTCAAACTCTCCCCTCTCCAGGGTCAGATACAGGTCGTTGCGTGTGTCACCTAAGACAAATACGAAGGGGAAATGTTAGTAAAAGAAAATTCCACCAACACTTCAAAGACTGGTGAGCACTACTGCCCTGTCGGTTGGGAAAACAATGTTTTTATAAAGTTAGAATAGCTAGAGGTTGATTGTGTCACTTGTATTAAAATTGCTCACAGAGGTCAGAAGCGCTTGCTTTCATGTTGCAGCCTAACGCCTGCATAAGGATGATCCAAATGGAAATTGATTTTCTAGAATTAGGCAAAGGTTAAAAATTATAAAATGTATATTGTTAAAATAACAATAATCTACTTTTCTTTTTTGTCAATAGCTTAACACACACATCTTATTTAATGGTAGTCTATGGGGAAAATAATTATAGATTTTCAATTTTTTAGACGCAATATGTCTCAAGGGGCCACAGCTCTCCTCAATCCATGGTGGAGGAATATGTGAAGTTTACTAAACATCTGTCGCTCGCTCCTCATCTCCACTCCATGCTACATTAATAGCTGCTAGCATAACACCCTGATCTCTGCTCCCAACTGCCACATTAAATTGCATTATGGGTAGCGACGGGCGTCAGGTTTAATGAAGTAAGAACAAAAAAGAGACTATATCTGTGGCTCTGCTACATGCATTTTAGGCCTTTTGTGAGTGCAACAATGCGGAAGAGTGCAAGGCTAAATCTGCGGAGCACTCCTTTAAGCTTGACACACTAACTAGGAAGTCATGCGCAAAATCTTGAGGTTTAGAGTCAAAACACGGCATAGACATCTCAGTAGACTATTAGAACCAACATGTGTCCTGTCCTGGCGATGTTAATACTTTATAATGTGCATGTCAGCGTCTGCCCCACAGATGAACTGCGAGTGGTCAGCATAAATTAAGAATAAGATGTGCACCACACGTCATTGTTCCAGTTGATGAGAAATGACCCCGCTGAGCTGTAATACACTGTAGCTCATGGCTACCTCAGCACCTTTTGTGAGGTCAGTGTTTAATGCAATAAATATCAGTGGCAACAGCGGAGGAAGATATTGCAGTTATTTATAAAATCAGATTATAGTTATTTATATCCAAGTCATTTCCTTGGGGACGCATGAGGCACAAGAGGTGATATTGGGAGGTATTTCAGGCTAACTGGTGAGGAGAGGCTGGGAGAGGAGAGGAGAGGAGAGGAGAGGAGAGGAGAGGAGAGGAGAGGAGAGGAGAGGAGAGGAGAGGAGAGGAGAGGAGAGGAGAGGAGAGGAGAGGAGAGGAGAAGATCATACATTCTCAGTACACAAAGCACAAAAGCAGAGCCATGATATCTGATGAAATATACCGAAATAAACACACACCTCAGATTTTCTCTCTCTCTCTGTCTTTGAGATATCTTTGAAGACCTCTGCTTTTCATAAGTTGCTCAGCACCTGACCTAAATGCAGATCTCACAAAAATACTGTAGGGAATGACAAATCCGAGAGCCTCCTAAACACCAGTGGTGGAAGAAGTATACCAGTAACAATAAAAACATTTAAGAATATAGCATTACAAGTAAAAGTCCTGCACTCATAATCTTACTCATTATCTCGGTAATACTGATGCATTTATATACTTTATACACAGCTGTGTATTTTGATGTTCCCAATCCTGGGTCCTCTGGAAAGGGTCGAAGATAACTCTGAAGGTTGAAGGAGGAAATGGGAAATGCAATGAACCTAAATTCTTCTTCCCTACTAATTTGAGTTTATTTTCTGAGAATTCTTCTTTAATTACCTCAGTAAAGGAAGTCATATTTTTGGTTCAGTATCTGTTCGGTTTGTTGGTCAGTAGGATCACGGAAAAACATACTGACCCGATTTTCAGGAAACTTGGTTCAATGGTGATACATCGGCCAAAAAGGAACCAATAACCATTGCAGTAGATCTGAATCATGAGGTGAATACACACATTACTTTCACTTATGGATTCAGTCTTGGCGGAGGTCTGCTCTCTCTGAAGGCACTTCTAGTTTATGCTGTTTTTGTAAAATGTTTAATACGTTTACCTCTTTGGGCCTCACATAGTTATTTAAATTAAACTTTCTGGAAGTGCAGACAGGGAATGTCTCTTTAACAACTCATGACATCCCTGTAATGTAACAAAAGGCCACTACTATTGAAAAAATGTTGTGCAAATATTGTATTTTGTTATTTTACTCAATGTTTTCAATGTAACTAGAAAGTAACTGTAGCACCAGTAGCATAAAGTAGCATCAAAATGAAAAAGTGAAGTACAGCAGATAAATAAATTAACATTTCCTTGGCACAACACTCTGCTCTCTCCTACATCTTCCTGTTTCCTGCGGGTTTCTTCTATTTAATCTTTCACCTCCTTGCCCTATCCCTGTCCTCCTTCATCTGCTTCTTATGTACCCTGACCTGTGAGCGTCCCCTCTTTTCATTCCTCCAAGCCATCTGGCCTCTGGTCTCCACCTCCTCCTTGAACTCTCCGTCCCCATTACCACCCGCTGCTCTCTGCCTCCTCACCTGGCAGGATGACATCTGGGAAACCCAGTTTGCGTGTGAGTGCCAGAGCCCTGTTGAACACGGCCTGGTTCTCCCGTCGGATTTGCTCCAGCTCACCTCGCAGCAGCTGCAGGGAAATGATGAGGCCTGGGGGCAAGAGTAAGCACATTTGTGTGTGTTAAAATGGGGCGAAAAAGGCAAATGAAGAGGTGTGGGGTTGTGGGAGGAATGTGAAATTGAAGGGAAAGTATAAGCGTAGGGGCAAAGAAGAAGGCAGGCGGGAAAAGGAGGGACAGAGGGGTATTTAAAGGACATTAGTCAGAATGTGGGGGAGGAAAATAGAGACACGAGAGTGGATGGAGAGACGTGATCGAAGCCAGGGACAACAGAGGGAGTCAGGAGAAACCGTGTCGTGAAAATCCGCAAAGAAGCAAGAAAAAAAATGGCTACCACAGAAATCTAGTGACAGATTTTTGTAAGGCATGAGTCATATATCAAACTGTGAGATGCACATAAAAAAAGAGTAATAGTGAAGTGGAAAGATCACGCCTACATGTTGAACATTTCACAAAGCAAGATAGATTTTTAAATCAGAACCAAGAAAATGATTGGCATTATCTTTCAAAGGATCAAATTCAATGGCTGAGCTGAAGTGTTTTCTTCTTTAGGTGAATATTATCACAGTGACAGTTAGGGGTGGGTGACATACAGTGAAGTCTTTATTGAAATTCATGGATATGAGGGTATAGTTTCTATACAATCCATCATTGTCAAACATTGCTAGATACATTAATATTGGGGTAATGTCTATTTTTGTACAAATCCTAAAGGAACACTTCCTAATTCTTGGAAATATAAATATGTGGCTTGTTCTTATAGTCCTCTGCGATATAACACAATGAGAACGTATACTTTGCAGCCATATTTATTTTCTTGCCGAGTGTTAGCTTAGAATATTGAAGCCACTGCCTTAGTTATCCTTTAAATATAAAGCTACAGCTGGAAGTTGATAGGCTTAACCAAGGACATTTTAAGTCTATTTCTTGGCCAGGAGCAGAAGTCACTGTTTATGGCAAAGATACAGAAATGTCCTGTTTTCTCAGAACAATCCACATACATTGCTTCTAAGAAGGAAATAGTGCCTATAACACTGCAGGCAGCACGTTCTTTAGAGAGATAGATTTTTTTAAAGGTAAAGAAAAGACTATAAGCAAATTAAATGAGCTCTCAAATCTTGACAAAATACAACCATAATTGTCTGTATGTCTAGATACCATAGCACAATCACAGTCACATGACCTGCCCTTGACCCAAGACCTCCCCTAACTTGCTTACTCGCTGTGAACTGCTTTTAATAAAAACAATAGCAGCAAACGTTGAATTTTCTTCTCTATAAATTCTAACCGAAAGAAAAAAAGGTGTGAATTTAATCATGGAGAGAACAAACAGGGATCAGATCAGTAGACGTCATATTTACCATAGTTGGTGCTGGGAGCGGAGTACTTGGTGTTGGACTTGCGGATGATGTTCTCCTGTATCTGGTGCCACTCGTTCTCATTGTTACATCTGTAGAGAGAGACAGTTGGGTGGGGCTGTTAACAACGCACCCATTAGTGGGTCCAGATGGAGGGATTGGGACTGTGTGCATGGGGACTACATGAACAGCATGTGTCCCAGAGCCGATTTCCTCCTGGAGAAAAGGTAGCAGCAGGGGGAGGTGCTATCAAGCAGCACATTAGCCCAAATGCACAGCTCACTAAGCAAACCTGACAGCCAGCTCTCTACCAGCCTTTTTCATTACTGTGGGCCTGTAGGCCCCTGGGATGGCATGGGGAAATGCACAGACTGGAGCATTATAGGAGCCGACAGTTTGGAGACAGCTCAGCACTGAATCACTGCTTGCTTTTTAAAGGGAAGAGCTCTTCGCCTAGGCAGAGGAATCCAATATAAACGACAGCTTTCTATTCTAAAAAATCTTTATTTCACACTGAGCTGTAAAGTTATCCTGGAAAATACAACATGTGAAAAATGACGCACACAACAGGATGGCAGAGCGCATGAATGATCTCTGACCCCGAGCGGACGCTAGGGAGGACACTGCAGACACAAGGAGACATCCTAGCTGTTGACTGACAAGAGAAAGTGCTGAGCTTGGTGTTGTTTTTTTCTTTGTCCTCTAACTTTGCTCAATTATCTAAGTGTCATCTCCCCCGGTCTCTTCCCCTCTCCTTCTCTGTGTCTCCCTCCTTCTCTGGGTTGGCCGGCGTACAGGAGAGGCTCTCTGTGGCGAAGCCTAACAGAAGCAGCCAGATTCACAACACGCCAAGTGCCCTATCTCGGGCCCAGGGTGAGCAGCTATTGATTTTCCAGAGGACACTTCATTATCATTCTGGTCAAAACACACCAGGCATCAACACTGGAGCACTAGGTTGTCATGCACGGCATTTGCAGAACAGTCACATTTCCCGCCTCACTGCGTAGACTCTTCAACTCTATTTCTAAAAGAACAGAAGCCACGCAACTTCTACTAAGCAGTTAAACTGACATCTGTATACAAATAATATTCAGTTTCACGCTTTAAATGCCAGATAAATTAGTTTTTAGGGCGACTGTATTTATAATGAAGAAGAGCTCCGGTTTAACTCACGTGTAAACTTTGAGCACAAAGTCCTTCTCCTCTTTGAGGTCTGTGATCGTGTGGAAAACGTCACTCATGGCAAGAACTGCGCAGCCATAAGGTCGTCTGTACTGCACATGGGGGGGGCCTTTCTTTGAGTCGTTCAGCAGCATTCGACCTGCAAACAGAAAGGAGAGGGATGCGCTCAAACATAAGCATTGATAAACCAATTTGTTTTATTATTAAACACTGTGCCATATTTACCAGTTCTTATGACATGTGCAACAATGTACAGATCTCTCTTCAAGTCTTTACTGCTTAGGTCCTAACGATAAATGGGATGAAAAATGTCCCTTAAGTATTTGAAGTACACAATATTTATAGTGAAGACTTGAAGGGAACTTATGTTACCGTGAAGAGAGCACACAGACGATCAACCTTCTCTGGATTCTTTGGTCCTCCATTTTTGTTCAGTTTCACCATGAACTTCTCACTGCAAAAAAAGCCAGTTCACAGTTTCAGAGTGTCAACCACAGAAGGCCTCAGTCAATCTGCTGGTCAGACATAGTGTGTGGACATATGTGAGTGCAGTTTGCATCGGGGGATCATTTGGTTATGAGTGCACTGACATTCCCCCCCATACCTGATCTGTTTGGCCTCCCGAGTATCATACAGAGAGAAGAAGACGTCTGCATCCTCGCTGATGCTGTTGTAGGTAAAGCTCTTCAGGTTGATGAAGAGATGGTGTGACACAGGGACACGGCAACCGTCACCATGGCGTTGTCTCGTGCTGTCACCCTGGTAACGAAGAAAAAAGTGACCGCTAAAAAGGCTGCTCCTCACTGTGATTGAGGCCGAGTACCTGCCACTCAGTTAATGGATACGCCTATTTAGCGGATCAATGGGGGTACTGTAAGAGGTGAATAATTCATTAATATATGCCCTACACCAGTGTACTTCATCCTGTCACATGTACATGCTATTTCCAGTAGACTTTAGTAACAAGAAATGATGAATGAATGATGGAAACTGCAGCTGTGGTGGGTCTGTTTTTGTTGTGCGGGGCTGCAGGGGTTTGCCTTACTGTGATGTAAACTTCTCTATTTATAGGATGTATGACTATTGTGAATTATGCATATCATATGGTAGCTTCATATTTAATAAACAATAGACAATTCTGCTTTTAAGGCCTTCGCTCGGTAAACATGAGCTTAATTTTAGCCTGTATGGGGTTCACGGGGGACTACATACAAAAAGCTTAGAGATAAATTGCATTTTAGAAATGCTACATTCCTTAAATGTATGGAGTCCATATGCAACAAGTCCTTGGTTTCCACACAAATGAAATGTACTGGACAAACATATCTAAAGTGCCTTAAAGCACCATTTGTGCATACATCTTGTAGCATATGTGATCCCAGTGGGAATCAACTCTCACAGCATACGTGTGAGGTTCTTATGCAGCATGGCAATGAAACATTGTAATTTATATATCAAGGGCTTTTGTCCCTGCAAGCTTCTTATCCTCAATGCAAAGAAAGACATTGCTAGAGCCACAGGTCTTAATGTGATAGAGCCAGAGTGCCCCGACTTTTGAACACTGACCTGGTACAGAGTGTACAGACAGAAGCAAATATTAAGAGATGAAGGGACTGACACATCATGAAGGGTTCTGATGATTTAGAAAACACACATCTTTGAAAGGACTATACCTGGGTTGTGCTTTGCTGACCACAGTGTCTGCTGGATATATGCTGAAAAAGAGCAAAGTTCAAAGGAAAGATGTTAGATCAGTCGGTCCATTCTTTACTCATCCCACACAGCATTGAACTTATTTACCTTAAGCAGCTTCAGACACACACTACCTGTGGGTTGCCTCTGTCGATGCTTCATATCTGACAATTTGCACCTACGTACGTACGTAGCCGAGGGGCTATACTACTGCTCCTGCAGCGCTAAAGAAGCCCACATGAGGCAAAACGTGAGCGTGTGGGAGAGGAGAGGACAAAGCCAGTATCGCCCACACACACCTCTTTGCTCAGCAGCCTGAAAGAACTCCTCTACTCCCCTACCTGAAGAAGTGCCAAGGCTGTGCGCCCTGCCAAAAACAAGCTCACTTTCATCGACAGAGTCAGGATGCTTTTTGGCAAGAGAGAGAGAGCTTTTGTTACTGGACAAAGCATTTAGTGCACAAACAATCTGCGTGCAGAGCTGAGAAACATGGCAATGAGATAATGTGAGGCTGCGGGGCATTTGGAGAGAGTTTTGATCAGCATATGGAGCTTCCACTTGTGACCAGAAAGGATCTCCCTCCTAGATAGCAGTCTCCAGCAGTATTACATTAGGTTTCATAACATCGGTGATGTAATCGCATATTTCTAAAATAGTACCTGCTTCAGTTGGTCTCCTCTCTGTGTGTGTGCGTGTATACGTTTAAAAGTCCTAGGTCAGTGAAGACAAAATACATTTCAGGCATAATTTATTCACGGAAATGTGTCTCAAGTCTAGTTGGCGGATTAAAGCAACCAAGAGTAAAATATGCATCTTATTTTTTAAATAAATGCTAAAAGATTAATTTGTATGTATTTTCCCGGAGCCTCACCTAGGACTGTCTCTTTGCATTATGTGTGCATGCATTGCTAGCTGGCAATCCTGCATGTGAGAGTCACGTGCATGCAAGAAAAGGGACACACTCAATATGGCGGTAAGATAAGCATAAAGAACAGGTCACATGAGGCAGCTGAATCGCACTCCCTCTTTTGAGTCACCTTCTTATGGATGATTTGATAATCGGTACATTCACACATCCATACACACATTCTTGTATGTAAAACCACATCAGCAGGAAAAAAGCCACCAAAAAATCTCATAGTCCGCATCATTTGAGACATTACAATACAACTTTACAGAATTTTAAGTAGATTACATGAATGCTGCAAAATTGCTTTTCATTTCTCTTATATCCTTCATAGTGCACGTTTACTTTTTTAATTTATTATTTTCAATAATTTATGTGGTGAAATTGTACAGCATGCACTGGCTGAAACATATTCCCACCCTACTGTACATACCAGTTTGTGTAGCTCTGATATGCTGATCTGATCCTGATCCACCATTTCAAACTCTTTTCTGGGAACAAGGTCTAAGCCGAGGTGCCTGGAGAAAGAGGGATAAGAAGTGTATGACAAAATGCAGGCAGAATCAAAACAGTCTCATATTACAACTTCAAGTTAAAATATATTACATGTTAAGCTCTTCAAATACACTCCTGGAGGTTTTTTCTCTTCAGCTTTTAAAGATAATATGAATAGTCAAAAGGTGTCACTTAATCTAGCCTAATCAAATCTTAATACGACACTTTATAAACATGCCTTCTAACATTCACTAAGGTATTGTACTTAGTTTAAAAAGAATGATTTATATCAAATGCTACTTTTTATTTAAAGGGTACCCATAATCCTTTTTGGAGTTTTCCCTTTCCTGTAGTGTGTGGGTTACAGAATGGTCTGCAAAGGTTAAAATCCCCTATGTTCCTTCCAGAGGGAGTTTCTCTCCCACACACACCCCCCTGCCTGAAACGCATACGATTTGACTCCTTGTTTACTTCTGTAACATAGTGACACCACTATGTAACACTTGTGCTTCTTTTGGCTAGCACTCCAACACATTGTTTGTGATAAGGGGCGGGACCTCTCTAAGAGTTGGACCAATCACAACAGAGCCGGCCAGCTAACCAATCAGAGCAGACTGGGATCTGGTTTCAGACAGAGGGTGAAAAGAGGTGCTGCAGCACAAGCAGTATGAGAACAATAAGCACTCTTTGATCTTTAAGGCAGGTAACCATTTCACAGTAAAGGCCCATCATAAATATGAACCAAAAAAATAGCACAATAGTCCCCTTTAATTTATTTTAGGTCATTTATTTTGCTCATCATAATTAGACTGTTAGCTAGTTTAAACTCCAGAAATGCATCATGAAATTAATATTATGCTTTTTTAGTAGAATATAATAATACAAATGTTTACACTTACAACCACTTACATATCTCCTTATATAAACAGTAAGTTTAAACAGTAATCTGTATTTGCTCGAGGACTACCAGCTACAGTTTGAATCATCACTCAAACTATTTTTTTGATGGCAGCACTATCAACAGTCAATTTAGGTTTAGGCATGTACTGATGACAAGATTTCGGATTATTAGGTTTAAACATTACTTAAACACTCCGAGATGATTATGTATTAAAGAGACCAACCAAAGTGTCTATGGATTAAAGAGGTTAAGTGTTTCCTTACACCTCTAGTTCATGCTTTTATATTTCAAACTAAATTGTGCAGCCTCAAAACATGCAGTCAGGGCTGCTGTGATCTTTTAACCATGAAATTAGATCACTACAGCTCTCAGGTCAGTGTGCACTACGAAGCAGTGTCCTCAACACGCATGGTGAACAGAATACAGGGAATTTCAGGCTCCACTTCTGATTTCTTTTTTTACATTACACTCATAATAGTTCAAGGAAATATTGGTGTACTTGTATGTGCAATTATTTTATAATAAACTGACAGACAGCCACTTCATATAAAGTTATTTCTCAGCTGAGAGGGAGCCCTCATATGTTTGATCTGTTATGGATGCCTGTCACAGTTGAGTTGGATGGAGTTTTAAACTGGCAACAGTAGGAATATGTCTTTGCAGTTCCTCCAGGGGGGTGTGCATTGACTTTAAGCCGCTTGAGATTCACTCATCTGCTAAATGACCATAAAATTACATCATAGACGATGTTATCCCACACCCACTCATCCAGTGTTGTAGATCTCTCCATTGCCAAGGAAATATTGTATTCCTTGTGCAGCCAATCTCAATACAATTCAGTACAAGAGTCACTCACTCATTGCCCCAGTCGAGTCGTACAGTGATGTGCCGCTTGATCTCACGAGTCTGATCCTGGGCGAGGTGACCCTGGATCAGCTGCCGGCGCAGGTCGATGAGCTCATTCATCACATGACGCAGTTTATGGAATAGATCCACCTTGTGTTTCTGTTGGAGCATCCAAAAAAAGGCTTGGTTAGGATATGTGATCTTCTTCTGCTGCAGCATTTATGTAGAGATTATTAATTTCCCTCTTTAACTAAAGCGCTGGACACTGAGAGAAAACAAGAGGTTACTAGCAGATTGTTCTCTGATATCAGACTCTGATGATTTATTATTCAGTCAAAGTAGGATCAAGACAAAAATCATGTTCTAACCACTCCTTATCAGCCTGTGCAGTTAGCAGAACAAATGTGTGATGCTTCTGACATTTAAGTCGCACTGCTATTGTTAATTAAACAAAAAATGGTATTCCCCTTGCAAGTCTGCTTTGACCTCCTCACGGTAATGACTTTCATCACTATTTGTCGTAAACTAAGGACAACCCTTTTAATTCAGGCATTTTGTGTTCTCCGTAATGGCACGACAAGTCCACATTACCACCCAGGTTTGTTTACATAAATGCAAAGATTAAGCGGCACCACATTGCCGATGTAAATTTAATGAGGATAAGCCCTGCATGTTCTCAAAGGCTGCTGGAAAACAAAGATTTTTTTTCAGGGTTGATGAGCCCTTTCGGGTGTCTATTCTGCGGGGCTAATTACGTACATTAAAACAGATACACAGTTATGCTTAGGCCATTGCTCCCTGAAGTAATCCCATGAATTGTAATTGGAAACAATAAGGTGAAATGTAACAACATTTAGCCAATGCTACATCCTATTATTATGGATGCAACTGTGGCAACATGGCCTATATCACACAGGGGGTGAGCACCAAAACGGGTTCTGTTAAATCAGCGCTTCACATTAGTCGGGCTTCAGAGAAAGTTACATCACTAACACCAGTGCCTCCGGCTCCTTAGTTGCTCAGAGCATGAGCAGTCCTCAGTGAGAGGTTATGTAAAAACTCGCTGCCAGCTCCGCAATGTATCTACTCAACTCCAAACTCCAAACCCTACCAACCACTTCTGCCTGCCCCCTCGACACATAGCAGGATTAAGAATGCTTTAGGTTTTCCAGTAATCACTTTTGCCCGGGAAAGTAAAGGCTGACTGAAGGTGGCGAGCAGAGCTGGATCTTAAGATGATGCACAAACTACAAGAGGGAGGCTTAAATCAATCAATGCCTGAATGACACAGCATGAAATTGCATGCGACAGGTCTGCAGGCCATTCATTATCTGTGGCCACCATTCCTGTTCCTACAGAGATAGTATATGAAAATGTAGGCTGGCAGTCAGAACGACATGCCAATGGGAAATATCTAAAGGGGCTTTCACTGTATGTTAGCACTGTATCTCTTTGGGTTATTCACTATAGTTGATGGTTATACAGGTGTTTAATTAAGTGCAGGGAAGAATAAAACATACTGGAAAAGATTATTCCACCAAAACCCCTACGGAGGATGGAAATGAAACACTGATAGATGCAATATATTTGTGTCCCAACTCCCTTGCAAATGTGTTAGATTTAGTCTCACATGTATTGCTTGGTGTTTTGTTTCAAGATGACGGCGATGTATTGTAATATAGTGCTACTGACCACATAGAGCTGCTTCCACAAGACCCCCCATTCCTGCAGTGTGGAGGTGGTTTCTGTGATGATGGGGTCCTCCAGGGGCACCACCGTCTCACACAGCCTGCAGCAAAAGAGAAACATGTAGATGAATGTGAGCATGCACAGCGATACAGACAGTTGTTCGGCAGTGATGCAAAGTCGCCGGATTAATTGACCAGATAGCTAAATGCTGAGCTGAGTAATGTTAGTAGAGTACAAGTAACTGATTACTTCTTAAATGTTAAACAACTAACATGTTGTAATTTTCGCTTGCTCAAAACTGACATAATACCACAGGCATTAATGCCACAGCTTGAGGTCAGCTTTTAAATTAGTAACAGCAATGAAATGAAAAAGAGAGTAATCAGTAAGAATATGTTCCCTGGCTGCAGGAGAGGTAGAGCACTTCAGTAAAAAACACAACACACATCCATCCTGTGCGACCACACTCAGAGAAACACTAAACCAAGGTTAATTCTCTAGTGAAACTTTGCTCACTAAGCTCCGGCCTGTTCTGAAAGAATTATCTTTAATACTGTATCATTGATTCTTGCAACAAGGGAAGCATCTCCATCCATTACACCATGACTCAGGGTTATTGTCTGTGGCACGAACGCTCTGGGAGAACCACAGATATGCAGAAGGTGTGTCACCTCATTAACTCCATGAGACAGCAAAGCACATTTCCCAAAGTGCAACTCCTGGAGCGAGGAGGTATAATAATGTGGATTTCCAAGTGTGCACTTTTAATTGTTTGAGTGGAAACAACAATCCTGCTGCTATGTGGAAGCTCAACTGGGAGATGTAACAGCAAACTCCCAGTCCACACTGAGCCACAGCTCCCAGTCTGCAGGGTTAACCTCCATCAGTTCAGGCTGATAAAGAGATCTGCCGCATGTTTTGTCTTCACTTTTATTCTAGCCAATACAGCAGGGGCCGGCTTTGCAACAGGAACTTTGGATGACCTCCACTGTGTGTGCATGCGTGTGTGAGAGAGCATGCATACATGTTAACGACTGTCCAATGAAAGTTGTCTTATAGATTAACACATTGATGTGTCTGCATCATACTCCCTGTGTAATGATTGATAAGAGCTCCTGGCTAGTACAGAACAAACAGATAGCATTGCTAATATCATCCTTCCTCTATGTTTCAATGGTAGATACGGATCTGTAGAGAAACCACCGCTGATGTTGTCTTCAGTATTTTGAGCTGCACTTCCCTCCTACATAAAATGCTATGTGCTGCAATAAATTCAACAAGCTATTTTAGTTTTGTTTATGTGTCTACTCAATAATAAACCAATTCAAAGATGTTGTAATGTTTCCTGCATGTGCAAAGATGTTCCCTTCACTCTAATCTTAGTGTGACCCACACTGGTTGTAGGGGTTGGTGACATGGATAAAATATTCTATTATGTTGTGTTTACTTTAACATTGTGAGATTAAAGTTTGCCATGATGAAGTACATTAGGTATTATTAAATGTTAAACAAAAGAAGTGGAAGAGACTGGTAAAAATGATGAATTACCTTAATACACTGATATTATTCCTTTAATTCCCCTCAATCCAACTCAAATACAAAGGGCCAAATACAATCATATTAAAGGGATTGCTTTATTATCAAACTGCCCACCCAAAACTAGTCTAACTAGTCTGTCTCTGCATGTATTTCAGATTCAAAAGCACATTTTGTTTACTCGTAGCTTTGCATGTTGGATTGTGTTGACACTGCCACAGTATGTCAATCATTTGTTTATGTAACAACAAATTAGTATTGGTGAGTATATCGATCTTTCCAACATTACCAAATATATGTATTGACATCTGCAACCTTCACCGGAGCACACTAGTGAATGCACAGACTTTTATTTGCTACTCAGTCTCTTTTGTTTTCTTTATCGTATGTTGGTGCCTGTATGGCGGCGGCTGGGGTACATCCATCAAAATAAGTTAGATAAGCGCATCTCTAATTATGACGCTGTGCAAGCTCAACTAAAACATCAAACGACTTACCCTCTGTTGGTCACTGTGGATTTCTTCAAGTGGACATAGCTGACTGGGAAAATCCCCTGTGGACAGAGAGGAGGGAGCAGAGATGTTACCGAGTGTGACAGGATCGCGTTCTTAATTCTCCTGCAACATGTAACCAACGTGTACAGCATTGTGTTCTATGTGGTACAATACCTTCAAGTTAAGATACACTTCTGCTGGCCACACATTATATGTTGAAGGAATTGCTAGCTCACACTTGCATTATATGTTTAGACCATTTCTGCTATGCTGTATGCTGACATGCAGATAATAAATGAGCATGCGTGCACACACACCACAGAGATGCTGAGCCCTTGTGTGGCTTGGCTTAGCAGGGGAAGGGCATGAGAGACTGAGTGGTGCCACCCTTGCAGTTCATCTTTCTTATTCTAATCTGCCAGATGTGAAGAATTGGCCACAGTGAGCAAAACTAATTCCTCTCAGCATAGAGAGAGTATGGGGGCGATTGAATGTGGGCAGTAGAGTACATAACAAAATGGAGGGGTGTTAGTAAGAACTGTAAATAGCTGATGAGAGTAGGGAAGGACAGCATGAAGCCACTAACACCTACATTTACCAGCACTGGACAGCAATTGTGCTTCTTTTAAAACATTACAGCAGCATCACATAACACTTCAGCTTCTGACATTTTATTTTGAAAGTAGACATACGAAATGGCAACAGATGACCTGCTGCTTTTGTGTTTTTTATAATACATCTGGTATTTTTGTTTCTGATAATACGACTGCTTGTGTAATGGCTATTGGGCTCTGTTACAGGTTGTCAAGGATGGAGTCTGTCATAAAGAGTTTTTACTGAAGAATCAATCCTATAAGAAGCAGATGTGTCAGTCGTATATAATAACCACTTATTGCAGTGCAGAGTATTGATCTCTTTAGGCAGTGATGGGGCTGTATTAGTCAGAGTTCTGCACCTATGCTCTTTACTTACTGAGTAGGATTTATCATAATGATGCCGACTGTGAAGTGGATTCAATCTCTCTGTTCTACCCTCCATCTTAACTTTATTTCTGCCTTGATCAAAAATATAACACCACAATAAGTGTATTTCATGTTATGGATTAAAACCGAATTGGAGTTTTATTTTTATGTATTTTTCAATTGCTTTTTTTTGCTTAAAAATATGCTTTTATATCACTAATTGCACCATCTGCTGGCTGAAAGGAAAACCAAATTGAGATGTTTTAGACCAGTGCTTCTCAAAGTGGTCCGTGAGTATATTGGTAACATTTCACATGTGAAATAAATAAATAAATTTCAGTTTTCCACACTCGTGGGAATATCTCCGCAATGGAACAAGCTTAAGTTTCACTTTCAATTGCATGATATAGCCCAGCGCAACACCTTCATCACACTTGCTGCCACTTGTTTGTACAATTTTCAGGCGATTTGTAATATGTTCTAGAAAAACGATGCGTTTTTTTATATTTGTGGAGTTAGGAGGTCCGCGAGTGTTTTTTTATTGGTTAAGTGGTCCTTGGTATGAAAAAGTTTGAGAAACACTGTTTTAGACAATTCTGCACAGCAGAGAAAACAGCAGAGTGGTAATACAGCACACAGAGTGGTGGCGCCATGGTGCTATTCTGGGATGCTATTCTGTAAATTGCCATTGTACACAAATAAAATAAATGATAGAGGTGGCGTCGGCCTCAAACCAAGGTTGGATTAATTGTGTCTTTTCTTGTCTCTGTATTTGCCGTGTGTATTTTATTTTTGTAAATAACATCTTGAAGACGGCCCTCCAATTAGTCTTAGTGTTTTTATGAAATGAAGTCAGAACATCTTGGTTCAAAATGTGTCTATGAAAAGCACATTTTGAAAAACAGGTCAGGAGATTTCTATTTTTGTCAAACAAAGCTCCATTCAATAAGTTAATCAGTCATTAATGTCTTTGTTGTCTAGACAAAGTTATTTTTGGGATGCACATCTCTCATGTCACATTATCATTCACAAAAACGCATTGGTCTCTATCAAATAAAAGCTTCACGTGGAGACCACTCTGTATTACAAAGAGACCAGTTGGCGATTCTTAATGTGTTTATTTAAATATGTGTTAACTTTACTATGATTACTGGCTTTCCAACAACTTATTCAGTTTGCTGCACTACAGTACAAGGTTGTGTCTTAAGTCCAAATAGATCTTTGTATTTTGATTCTGTACTTCAAGTATGCCAGTTTTGATGAGATTCATTTGCTCACATATTCAAAATGCTGAGAACTGTAAGTAGCCTGCAGGAACTAACCCAATCTCCAACCAGTCATTTTTGGACGCTGTTATAATTACCTTGATAGAAGGCTTCTTGGTGGAAAAGCCTCTGTACCATCCTAAAGGAAGAGCAAAATAAACATTAGAAAACCTTACTACATCACAATGAAACACATTGTAAAGAAAGATGTGCCATTACTTTTTACCTTCATTGAACTTGTACTCGGTATGTTAATCTGAATGTAATTCATTACCGTTTTAACTTTGCTGGCTAACTTACTTGCTTAAAATAATTATACTAACTGTTATATTGACTGTTTTATCATTTGATTGGTCATGAAATGGTAAAGAAATCCGTGAAATCAGTTATGTAAGCCTATTTATTAGTTAGAATGGTGGATCACCAGGTATAGGGCTGTTAGCTTCAGTGAATCCTTCTTTTGGTTTGATGGTGCAGTTTATTTTTAGGTCAAGATCTGGAAATCAATAACTGCTTATAATAACTGCTTTACTAGACTCTATTTTCCATAACATACTGTAAGCAGAAAAGTGTCTAACAGGACTCTCTCAAGAGATTTATTAGCAAATATGGACCTGTGAAATAAAGTTTTTACAACTTGCTGGTTTGAATGGTGTTTCAAAGCCTACTTCTATGATTAACCTTAGATCTGGCGCAGAAAAACAGAATGCTTTAATTTATTTATTTCACTTAAAAGTAATCCCATTTAAATACTGTGTCTAGATTTGTTTTTACTTTAGTATGCAGATGTATTCAGTCCCATATAAAATACTAAGAAAGAAGGACCCTTAGGCCTGAGTGAACATGACCACCACACAATACTTTAGGCACATGATATCTCTCTGCAGTACAGATCATATTTACAATCAAACACAATCATTTGGGCGGGATTGCTTTTACCTTCACTCTTCTCCAAAATCTGTACAGTTTCCCCAATCTCCAGGACTAAGGCCTGACATGTTGATGACCGGAAGTTGCAGATCACTGAAAACAGAAAAACAATCATGAATGATGAGAACACATATTTGACCTGATTTGACTGTGATGTATTTTTGTGTACAACATATATTCTTTGTGTCATTTTTGTGACCTCTGATTAAGCAAGGGGCTTCTCTTAGACTTTGGGGTCTCTATCTAATTCATAAAGTGTAAAGTCTCCGCACAGCATGTCTTTTTGGGTTGAAGCGGGACTTTTAATAAGCTGTTAAACGCAAACATCTAAACTCGCTGACACACAGGAACCACTGCTTAGCAAACTGTAAACAAGCTCCCACCCTGAAGTGGGTAGTCATTTTAATAAGCAATTAATTCTTAAGCGGCCTGATTTTTGTGGAATGTTAAGTTAATTGAACTGTCTCCCAAAATAGAGCCCACACAATCTGCTAAGTAGTAAACGCTGCTTTATCATAAGTCGGTATTAGCATAATAAATCTTCCAAGCCACCCGCTTTTGCAGCATCATGCAGTCTTTGACCGTACACAGAAACATCTTGTGACTCTAACACTGATTAAGAACATGATTATTCCTCAGGGGACGATGCCACAGTAAAGGGTTTCACAATGGGATGGCCTCTGGAGCCAGTTTTTTGTCATCTCTGCATCTATGTAACATACAGGCCTCAGTAAAGACAAACTTGTTTAACTACGACAGGGCTCCACTGATGATTTTAAACCTACAAATGGTGGCCCTTCGAGGGGAGTTTGGTGTGAATCATTATGCTAATGAACTAGCCAGGGGACCCAGTGAGGGGGAGGAAGAGGAGGAGGGGCTTGGGCTCGGCTCAGTTGCCTGTTTGAGGGTAACGAGTGCTCAGTTCCTGTGCTCGGGTAACTATGGCAACAGATCATCTACAAACTGGAGGGCTTTCTTCACTGTAACTGCTACGGGGATGTGGGCATTTTTAAATGGCGAAGCTTACGGATGCTGCATGGCGCTAGAGTTCAAGTCAAGTGTATTAGGCATGTATTAGAGTCAGAGAGATGGATAGACTTAAGAGAGCCTCCTTGTCACCTTTTGCCCCTGCCTGGGGCTCTTTTCCAGCCAAGGCTAAGTATTGCCTATTTTAGAGTGCTATTCTTTAATGGCCTCTATTTCATTTGAATTGCAAAACCTGCACTCACACCATTTTAAAACTCTTTAGCGGAGGCCATGTCAGAACAAGATCAGCTTGTCATGTTCGAGAGAGATGGGCGCATCAAGCAGACTCGTATTTTCATAGTCCACCCTCACAAAACCTCCAAGCTGTGTAAACACTCTTTCATTGTGGCTTCAGAGTATTAGCATATCCACAAAACAAAAAAAACAAGAAAATGCATCTTTTTATACTTCAACATGTTGAACGTAGGAAGTTGGAAGGACTGATGGGACAGGCAGTGGAAATGTTGGCAAAAGCAAACATTTCTGCTGAGCAACATAATATCAGTCCAGACTGTCCCTCGATTTAGTTGCATATCGTCCACATGGCATCTTAAGGCTGCTATTGTGTAACCACAAACTCACTGGTAGGAATTATGGAGCTTAAGCACAGCAGGAGACTCCTGCTGTCCTCCACTCTCCTCACACCTCGCCACCTCTCCATTGTTCCATGTATCACAGATATATACGTTTACTCATCCATACCTCTATTAGCAACTGCATCTATTCACTCATTTAATATCAGATGTTCGGTTTTAGGGGCATGACTGCTTTTTGAAATCCTATTTGTTCGCACTCGACCAAGTTGTTTGTAAGGAAGAAGGAAAAATACATGTTTTTGTATCTTCTGGCTGGCGAAAATGTTGATGGCAGCAAAGAGATGCAATGCATTTTCATAAATAAATATCAGGCTAGGCAAATCTATAAAGACCAAAACCAAGGAAATAGCTAAATAATGCAAATAGCTAAATAATTCTCCAGAAAAGTAGAAGAATTACAACTTATAGCCAGACAGGTTTACTCATGAAGTATAAAAGGGTGATTCATTTAAATGCTAGATTTAATTAACTAAACTTTAAATGGTAATAGTTGTCGACGGGCAAAATATAAACTCAAATCTCTCAGAGTTATTCTTCAGATAACATTTTTAACAGCCTGGACCAATCTCTTAAGAATCCAGTTTTTCTGAGTTGGTGTAAAGTGAGAACAGACGCTGGAGCAGTGGCGTTTTCTCCCGGAGGCCAAGGGAAGCCAGGCTTCCCCTGTTTTTTCGGATTGTAGTTATAATTTAAATAAATAAATAAAAACACTTTGTTTTGTTTCGATAATTCTCCTTTGCTGTGTGTTGCTGCCGGCCCGTCTCTCCCCCATTCTCATTGAGTATTGTACAAAGAGTGAAACAAACAGCGCCCCTCTAGATGTTATGGTGAAACAGTAGATTGCACTCTCTGTTGCGAGAGGAGGCCAGCCGAATCTGGCTTCCCTTGGTGAAAAAAATGGAGGGATTGACCAATCAGATGAGGCCCACGTGATGCCCCTGCCAACCTGTGATTGGTCAGGGCCATGCCAAGGGAAGCTAGCCGCCTCTTGCTTCCCTTCAGAGGCGGCTGGCGATTTGATTGGACACTGCCATCCAATCAAATCACATCAACATCAGTTTTAATACTGTAACTGTCATCACCGCCGTTAGAAATTATCAAGCAAATGAAGCATTACTTAATCAAACATAACTTTACTAAACTTCCGCTATAGCAGCAACTAAAAATTAAATCAGATGACAGGCCAATGCCCGCACTCGAGCTGTGTGTACACCAGTCTATGGTGTACACAGAGGAAAAAGGGAGAGAATCGGACGTTCAATGAGGACAATTATGTCCGCACGGAGTGGCTAACTGGAAGCGCTAAACTTCAGCGTCTATTTTGCTGGCCATGTCTTCTTCGTCAAGGATTCGTGCTCCCTGAACAATCCTTGGGCAACTTCAGGATTCATCGACCTTGCCAACCTGCCACGGGCAATTGAGAGGCACGGTAAATCCAAAAATCACATAGATTGTGTGATTGTCTGCATACATTAATAAGTAAAATGCTTAAATTAATAAGGAGAGAGTTTCAGCTGGAGAGTGCGTGCGGACCTGTCGGTTAGATAACAGGCGTGTGCAAGTCCTGCATCTGTGTGATACAAATGTGTGTCAAATGATACCGGGCGCTGTAATCACTCATCTGGTTACGTTATTGACCACCCCCCGCGACCCAAAAAATGGGCTTCCCCTACATTTTTCCCCACGCCACGCTACTACGCTGGAGTTTATTTTCCATAACAGCACCTAATTACTACCACCGCCATCTCCTGAATAAACAAACAAGTTATCATTCTGGATTTAATCACGCAGAAGTTATGACATTCAAGCGCTGAAGACACCATTTATGGTATCACTTTGGTCACCTAATACTGAGAAGAGTAGAAGAAAAGGCACCCAATGAGTATCAAGCCTCATAGTAAAAAGCATTAGACTCAGGAGACCAGAGATATACTGGTGCACAAAATACCTTTTAAAATCAGCCTGAGTGAGAATTAAGAAAGCTCTTCCTCTGTTGTGCCTTATTTTCTAAGTTGCCGCTCTTCACCAGCAGTAATGCCTAAAATGCCTATAAGTGAACACTAAAACCCTCACCTTGTTAATAGAATCCTGCAGTGTTGCGATGTAAAAAGAGCTGTTATGTGATGATTGCAAGAAAAATGTGGCAATTCAAGGATCTCATTTGTGCAGCAACATTCTCTTGAACGTCTCTTATATCTTCTCGTAATATTCTGTTAAAGGGGCCCTACAATGATTTTTAGGGGTTTCCCTTTCCTCTAGTGTGTGGTATACGTTTCTGTGCATGTTAATGGGCTGCAAAGACTACATACCCAAAGTTATCTCCAGAGGGAGTTTCTCTCCCACACACTCCCCCTCTACCTGAAACGCCTCCATTGGACTCCTTTGTTTACTTCCGCAACATAGTGACATCGCTATATAACACTCGCACTTCTATTGGCTGGCGCTCCAACACATTGTGCGTGAAAGGCTAGGGGGTGGGACTTCTCTAAGAGGTTGACCAATCAAAACAGAGCCGGCCAGCTAACCAATCAGAGCAGACTGGGCTCTGGTTTCAGACAGAGGGTGAACAGAGGAGCTGCAGCACAGGCAGTATGAGAACAATGGGTTTTTTAACATTAAAGCACGTAAACATGTCAGAGTAGAGGTAAAAAATACAAATATGATCCTGACAGATTATTTTCTGTAGAAACCGGTCTCCATGTACTCAGCCCCTCTGTATGACGTTGACCTTTGACCTATTTGTGTTCCATTCTCCTGTTTCCTGTCATTTGTATGGTCAAGCCAACTCCAATATGTAAGCTATCAACACAAACATCTATTGTTCTTTTACAGCATATGAGGGAGACAAGTATCCAGCGTTAATATTTGTACCTGCCGACATGTCTTGAAAAATGTTTTTCCTCTATATGTAATATAGCGATTAGCACACAGCATGAACGGCCTGATGACCTTGTGTTAGAATCAGCGTGAGACACATAGAGTTCCTAACTGTACAATGGTCCACAGGGGAGACATATTCTGCAGAGTGAAGATGCCATCAAAAACCTGCCAGTAAACATTATTGTGGATTATAAACACTGCTTTTTCAAAACAACTGAGTGATAAATGAGGACCAGTGTGCTGAGAAATATTATTATTAGAAAAGACACTGTGCTCATCTTAAATGCAGAACTGAAAACTCTTTGGTTTTTCTATTCTCTTTTAGTTCCAGCCTGATTCATGATTGGTACATCTGAAGCCTAACTGCTTACCGAGTGGATCCTTCAACCATTTCAGTAATGCAATGTGAGTGTGAAGGCCATGAAGGCCTGCTTGAGTAGTTCTGTCCCAGATCCAGCAAAGTTCAAATGTACACAACAGTCTTTGGGTTTCGCCCACTGAGTCATGTTGTTCAGCACGACTTATATACAGACTCCCTTACTCCGACACATTACTGCGCCGAAGTATTGCTAACCTAGGGATGTCTGCCACAGAGGCAGAGGAGCATGTTACATATCGGATCCCAAACCAGTGTCACAGAATAAAGGCACGCTACTCAGCTGCAGGGGTCTGTGTAGCCGCAAGACGACGACCTCAAAACACTTTAAATGACCATCAACATGATCACACATGCAACAATAGGTATACTTTAATGGTTTTAAGTGCAGTTGAGGTACAGAAAACGACAGTACTAAGGAGATTTGTAAATCAGTGCCCATGATGAATCCAAAAGTGCTCACCAAAATCAAGCTCAAATCATGGCTACTTTGAGCTACATTAATCTCTCTAATCCCACTCTCTTGAACATTAGCTCCATCTTTTGTTCTCTCCTGAACACGTTTGAACCTCGATCTGTCCATTTCAGATAATGGTGGCCTTGCCCGCTAGATTATTTCATGTTACTGCTACAGTAGTTTGTGCCTGAGACACGTTCATGTGGCTACATCATTGTTTCGCTCTCTCTCTTTCTCATGTGGGCTGGCTTACAGTCAGAGAGATCTCTCCAATAGAAGTGTTAAGACTCTTGCAATACCTCTGGTTATATGAGAGGAATCCATTAGTGACTCATTTGCAAATAAAAGTCATTTTAAAAAGACTCGACCGAGGATCGGTTTAATTTTTAAAATCTATTGTAATGTTAACCTCCCACATTGTGTTTTTTATTTTAAAATTAGCATTTTCCTTGGGGTACAACATTTTTACAAATGTGTTATTAAATAAGGCAGACAAAGTAGGTATAAATTAGTTGGTGATTTAAATAATTCAAAAAAATTAAGTGCAGTTGCTGAGTGGAAAGAGCCGGGCAACCCTACAGCACATTCAAATCCAGGCCTATGCAAGTGATTTACAAACTTATATTAGTTCCTGCATAAACAAAGAAAATAATGAATAGGCAACAATTCGAAGAAAGGCATTAACATTTCATGAGGTGGTCTCCAACTGTTTCCGGTTTAGACGGAGCCCATTAAAAATAGAACAGAAAATAAAGGCCTGGGTTGCTGCTAAAGATCACGGCTCAGGTTCATATTGGTGTATGGCATTATTGGTGAGAGACAATTTACAGGCAGGGACAAAATAAGCAAAGATAATGGGGGAATGTGCAAAATGGTGCTAATAACAGAGGAGTCAGGAGGAGAGGAGAAAACGGACTGTACTGCCAGTTAACATGTGTGATTTTGAACCTAGTATGTCAACACGTTCTCTCAGGCGAAGGGGGAAATTGTAGCAGAGTAATGTGTGTTGCTGTTACAAAGTACAGTGTGTACTGTGTAGGTTCAAGGCGCTTTGCCTCCCCGCATTTCAGCACCATGGACAGAGCCAGGTCACTCCACCGCTGCGGAGGCTGCGGAGAACTGTTGCTTCCCCTCACTTCCTCTCTGTTAAAACCCCGATATTTGCGCAAAAAACACCTGCAGTGAATCTGTGATGGAGCAATGGATGCGTGGAAGGGAAAAAAACACAAACGACTGAATGCGATAAGATGATTACTGTACAGCCACAACAAGAGCCGATATTATGGTGGATTGTCATTTGGGACTCTCATCCTGCGGTCTTTATGAAACGATGATGACAAATGTAATGCCTCCAAACAAAGTGTATATGTGTGGGCGTTTATATGAGGAGGGAGTATCATGTGCAAGCCAGCACGAGTAACAGCTGTAGAGCATCTGGAAATGACTCATTCCCCTATTGAAAACCTAGGATAATCACAGCTATAGACACCTTGGCCGTGGCAGTGGGGTTCAGCAGTCCCTTAGTGATGACCGTGTGGTGTCTCATGGCGTAATTGTTGCCTATTCTATTGGAGACTTGATTGTAAACAGCTCGCTTTGATTTTTTTTTCGTCCATAAACAGCTAATCTGAATGGGGAAACGCTGATGTTGCACTTTCACCTTTCCCTCTGGGTCAAAGTGCACACATGCAGGGATGAAATGTGGTATTTGTTACAGCGCAGTCCCTTGCAGCAGCTGCATTAGGGCTGATGTCTTCCTACAGGTAGACTCCGGCTCCACTCCAACCTACACCTGTTGGAGGGACGCAGTCACGATGCCCCCTCGTGGTTTCAACACGAATCGTTTTTCCCCCTCTTCCCCCTCCAGATATGCTCATAAGAATAAAGGCTAAAATGCTACACTGACGCATTTTCTTATTTATTTTTATATATAAAAAAGCACACAACCAAGAGTAAGAGCCGGATCTAAAGCACCGCCTGCGGTTGTGTGCGATAGCATCTTTAAGGTGGTGGGCTGTAGGCTGTATCATCCCACGCAATTTCCCTTTCAATGCAGTCACTGGCCGTGTATATCAGCCATTACAAGTGTGTGTGTTTTTCATTGGGTGTAATAGGCATAATAAGAGGGGAAATGGTCTGGATAGCCTATGCGGGGTGTCGATGAACACACATTGGGTGTTTCTCGTGGAAAAACTGTCATCACAGCGCTGTATTAATAAAGTGAATTAAAATAAGATAAATAAATAAAACATTATTAGATAATCAATATAGGATGCAATTGACTTACCAACTCCGATTTTCTCCTCTTCTGTAGGTATCCACATATTTGGTTATTTTCCCTCCGGTAGAGAAAGCCACATTATGTCGATATCGTGAGATGATGCTGCTAGAAAATGAGAGCTGAAGGCTACAAATGATCCTGGCTGCTCAAACATGGGACTACATGTCTCGACCGAAATCTCTGTCCTGGCGTCTGTGTGTGTGCAGGGGAGAGGAAGGACCATGAAAGCACCGATATATCCTCTCTATTATGTTCCGGCGTGTGTCTCCAGTCTGATGCAGTCTCCGTGTCCACCTAATGTAACGCGCGCACACACACATACACACTCGCGCAGGCAGGCACGAACGCTCGCACGCACACGGTGAGCGGTTTTCTCGTCTCCAGTAAAAAGGTGTTATTGCAGCCGAATTTAAAGTGGAACAAAGATGCTTCTTTTCCGCGAAGATTATTTATTTAATTTCTTAGTTTTTTCTCTCTTCTCCTTTTTTCCTCAGCCAATCGCTCAGCTCCAGATGATCCGGCTGCTCAGGCAGCGTGCACAATCAATCGGTAATTAGGAGGTAATAGGTCGCGATATCGTTCCGCGGTCAGAACTGTCGAGATGCTTCAAGAAAATACTGAGAAAGCTGCAATATAACATAAGCTGCGCCATCTTCATGGTCGTCACATGACTCGTTTTGTCAACACTGATGTGTCAAGCATTTGCAAATATATGCTCTCTCTCGATAGAGAGAGAAGAGGAGGAGAGAGAGTACGAGATAAGCAGAGCTATAGAGGCGCGAGAGAGAGTTAAGCTATCTCTCTCTTCTCTCTCTAGCCTCTCTCTCTCACTCGCTATCTCTCTCTCTCTATCATAGCTCTATCTCTCCAAGCTCTCTAAGCTAATCTGTCTCGTATTCTCTCTCTCTCTCTTTTCTCTCTCTCTCTATTCTGCATGGCCGTTGCATCCATCACAACAGCATTTTTCCTCTTGCTAGTAAGCTGGCTGGCAGTCTGCCTTTTTTTGATTGGATGCATAGCTTTGGGAGTTGTTGGCCATAAAGTAGCTCCCGGTGTTACGGATCAGACCATGTGGGGAAGCACCTCCTGGTTGAGTCATTTCAAAGAAACAGACCCACTACCGGTGATGCTTTGTCATAGTGCAGTCATGCTCCCACACTGATTGGATGCAACTAATTCCTAAAGGCCACTTTTCCATTTGGATTTGATTGATAGGTTGGACAAACAGTGGATTTATCTTTAGACCTACATCACAGGACAACAGGCTGCTTTATAGATGACATTCACGTAAAATAAACGATGGATTTTGAAAAAATACAAATGCATGTTGTGGATTAATGAGCTGTTAACATGATGTGTGGATATGACCTTGATCATGTTTTCTTCTTCTGAATTTAATATGAAGGTTCAGTTCGGTACTTAAATTGAGTACGTTTTTTGTATACTGTACATTATATGTATATTTGTTTTATTATATTTCCACATGTGATGGTTTAAGTTATTTGTAAGCCTCCAAAATGTTTTGAAGAACATTCTAGTTGTGAACTGTCTCGATATTAACTTGTTCATCTTTTGTTGTCTTAAAACTCAAATAAATACTGTATTCGGCCTTAAGCTCTCACCACATCTCGCCAGATACGAGGAAACAACTTGTTTGTCAGGTTTGACTTTTAATGACATACTGTATACCGGATGTGATGCAATGAATTTAGTTGAGTTGACTTTATGGCGTAGTAAGTGAGTCACTGCTGGTAAAACAGTCTGTGGGGAAATAATGAACATGACGCATTCACTTTGCTCTGAAGCTTAAACCTGCAGAGTTAACAATACGTACCAAAGTGACCTAATTATTCCAGTAAGGCATATAACATCCTATCCTTATATTTGTGAACGTTCCAGGAACGCAATTTATGTTCTGTGTTGAAAATGTCCCTCAGTCCCCGAGACCTTGATTTAAACATGTGAACAACAGCATGATGTGGAAAGAGAACATAGAGGCTGATGTTTTAAACCAGATGGATAAACAGTTTTATTCCTAAAACATGTGTTATACAGTATTTCACCCATTGCTCAACGCACGTCTGGTCCATTCAGTGTAATAAGCTGTCTTGTCCTATACACAAGGCCATCATGAGTAGAAGAATAGAGTAATTTGGTGAATATTGAGCGTCCAGTGAGTTTGATGTAGTGTGGGAGGGAGGGCAGTATTCAGCAGGGTAATTTCTCTCCATCATAGCGATGCTGTGACTGACTCCCATCTGTCTATTACTTCAAGTGGAACACTGTGGGCGGTGTTCCACTCACATACATAAAGCTGAAGGAGAGTGGGGTGTTTTTGAAAGCTAAATATGCATCCCAGCTAATAAACATTTGAGAGAAAATATAAAACGTGCAAAATAACAAGCAACTATCCTTGCTGAACATCTGGTTAGGTGACACGACAGCATACATGTTAAAGCTGGCACAAAGGACATATTATATAATTAAAGATTTGAAAAGGCCTCATGCACTTGTCATTTTCTGACAACATTACACTTGCTCGGCTATTAGCAGAGGTCACATTTAGCTGCTGCTCTGATGCAGCAGCACAGGACGAGACACCGGTTCCTTGCAAACAGGGATTGCCTAATACAGTGAGCTATCTGTTTCTACACTCCCAAAGCTAGCAGGCAATAAGAGCCAGCCGAGGAGGTAATAAGAAGCACGGCCTACCAACTCATCCATCACCTGCAAACACACACATTCTTATTTCTTTACTCTTCTCAGGATCATACATTTCATGCGCTCGCTGTACAAACAATCGCTGTCTGTACACATGGACACACACACAAACACACATGCTCAATTTAGAAAACATATTTGATCCTATTTTAATGTGGTGTTTTTTAAATGGGTCTTGTGACTATTTTAATAAGATCTATTAATAACTGTGGGGGAGGCAACGGGAACATTTAGTGGCAAATCCCTGCATGCACCATTCAACCATCAAGTGACCTGAATAATGTCACGTTATGGTAAATGTAAGGTATCTTAACACTTAAAGGGCAATAAAGATATCATTAGTTACATGGAAAGATATGAAACATAACAAATATATGATTGAAATGTATATGCAAACTCAGCTGCTGGTAATTATTAAAGAAAATGTCAACCGTCATAGTTTCTTTATAAAATAACGCCAGGTAAACTATACCCTCATTTTATTGGACGTAATTTAACGTAACTAAATTGTTATATATAGACTATGATTTTTGCCTTAATGGTCAATTAACATATTATCATAACCTCTATCTAATAAGGTAATTCAGTTTTGCAAGAGAGACCTGAGTACAGCAGGAGAAAGCGAGCAGATAAGACACAAACCGAAAAAAGCCTGACACACAAAAACAAACCTATCCAATTGGACCAGACTTTTAGGTGCTTACGTCCTTTGTAATTAATTCCAATTATTTGGCCCAAGCACTTGAAGGCTGATCCATCCAGTATTTACTCGAGCTCTATCAGGTGTTAGCCAGTCCTGTGATCTGGTCTGATGAACAGTAGCTATCATTTGAGACGAGATGTGATTGGAGGATACATTTACAAACAGTAGTATGGTGTAGTTTTAGCATGAATGTGCAGGATACCTTCATTGTCAAGCACAGACATGACGGTAAAATATAGGAACGCCAATTTGTATTTAGCGATTCTGTGCCAACTATGAGAAGAGTGCTAACTAAGCAAATTCCCTTATACTTCAATTTCAGACGTTTAAGTAGATGGACATGGTTTAATTTAAAGATGAGCCATGTAGGAATTCATAAAACTGTGTCATCTGCACATGTCTTGATGCATTGAGAGAAGCGTGGCCGGCTGATCTGAAAGTACATTTTACAGCTGAGTGCTCAGATTATGCTCAATACTACACTCCAATATGTACCGGCCATGGCCTGATTCAATTTAAGGCGGCACGCGGGACTTCATCTGTCTAAAGTCTGAGTGTTTCCATCTATTGATGATTCTTGTAATGTATTTAAAATTCCACAGTGAAACAAAATAATACATTTGGCTTTTCTAACTTTCAGGTTACTGGTCCTCCATCTTTTATGCTGCATCTAAGATACTAGAAAAATGAATCTATCCAAATCCTCTTACAGACAATTCTTTGGCATCCAACGTCAATCATCATAATCTAAAATAGTAATTGATTATGACATTTACCGTTTTTGTGGTTTTATATATATATATATATATATATATATATATATATATTTATTATTATACTTGATTTTGTTATTGGAGAGAAAAAAGCAAATTAAATAGTTTTGCTGCATTTTGTATACAACATTTTTTTTATGTGAAAACTAATAAAGTGGGGAGATATGAATCACCATCTGCATAAAATAGTATAATTCTGTATTTGAATAGAATTATGTTTATTGATTGAAAATAATAATGAACAAAGAAAGAATCTGTATCGCATGTATTTGGTCATTTAGAGGGGGGGTTTGATGTGAGACTTAGTACAGATTGATTCTTCTATCAGTTCAAAGTTCCTTCAAGTTTAAAAGATTGACCTCACCGCTGCCCATGCTTGAAGGGACCTGATGTACTGATGAAGTTTGTGTGTTATTTAGACCCTGATATCGGCGCCAGTTTCAGCATTCACTTGTTTTACCCATGTATAACAGCATCATGCACATGTCATTAAAAGACGCACACAAAAGATAATTTTGCGGCTTTATTTATAGTAAAAATACTTTAGATACATACAAGCTGTACATAAACTGTTTGAGGAAAACATCACAGTCTTCTTATGGAAAGGAAAACAGGTCAAATGCACTGATACAAGGCAAAGAACATGAGAATCAATGTTTGCAGTGCTTTCAAAAAAGTGTGCAAGTGAAAGGCATTTGTTTCCACAATGTTAAGTTTGAAGCTTCCTGTCACTCCGCCCAGAAAAAAAATTACATTTGAAAGGAAAATATTTAGCTGAATTCTACCACCATCTGTTATTTCCCAAGTATTTTTTTTTCTCAAGATTTAGCAACGTCGATTTGATCC